CACCCTCGGTTTGGAGGGGTGCCACCTCAAGTGGCACCCCCACGGAACCCTTGTGAAGGGTTCCAGGCCAGGGGGCTCTTGAGGGGTAGCCTCTTTGACGGCTTGGTGCCGGAGAATAGAGGCTTCCCTCCGCCCCGATGGTCCAGCCAATGGGTGACCTTAGGGTACAAGCCAATCTAACTGGGACAAGCGCAGGAGATCGAGCGGAATAGCGTATGAAGAGAGCGGGGTCAAGATATGACCAACAATGAACGTGAGTTCGAAATAAACTGACTATTTTATTAAAACGGAGTACCCCCCCCCCGTGGGAAAAGAGGTGCATAAGGAAGGACGTCTCCTAAGCGCATGAATGGACTAATGTAGCGAAGGGGGAAGGGGGGAAATAAACTGAGTTTTTTCTGAGAGACTTACTTGAGTACCGATAGTGAAATGACGAGTCTTTCGAGTCCTGGCAGAGCAGTTTGGAAGTGTAAGCAAAGTGGAATGTGGCGGTTTCCCGAGGAAAGTTAAAACCGAAACCAGGCAGTCAGAGCCCCAGACAGGAAGAGGGAGCAGACGTCATGAAGTTGCTAGCGGATATGCTGAAGCCGGTAATGGAGCAACTCGGTGGTATTAACCAGCAATTGGCTACAGTAAACAAAAACTTTGCTCTGCAGCAGCGCCAGCTGGCAGAAACGGAGAAGAAAGTGGAGCACGCAACTGTGAAAATTACAGAGATGGATATCACAAATAAGAAGATGAAGAAAAGAGTGACTGATGTGGAAACAACACAAAAACTTCAAGAAACTCGTTTGTTACAGCTTCAAATGGAAAAAGCTAACATGACTCTCAGATTTCAGGGGGTGCCTGAAATTGAAAAAAAAGATTTAAAGAACACTCTGGGAGAGATCATCGCTCCAGTAACAGGTATATGAGTAAAAGACATGGAGGCTGCCTATCGGGCATACTCTAATTATATCAGAAAAAATAACCTGCCTGGAGAGATTGTGGTGAGATTCGCAAGAAGACAGACCAGAGATGCGGTATTAAAGGCAACTTCGGCAAATCCACTGAAAATTGGGAATACAATCATAAAGACTTTAAAGGATATCCCATTTGAAATCCGTCAAAAGAGGAAAGGGTACAAGGAATTGATCTCATTTCTTCAAACTAATGGAATTCAGTACAGGTGGGCGATTCCTGAATGTGTAATTTTTAAAGTCAACGATAAAAGAGAGAAGATTGACTCCATCTTTAAACTAAGCAATTTTTGAGACGTCAGCTTGGGCCGGAAGAAGAACTTAAAGATGAAGAATCCAAGTCAAGTGACTCTGCTACTTCGGGAACGGACAAGGATTCTGTGGGAAGCAGGAGCGGGAGCAACGAAAACTGTGTATGACTTTAGGGATAGAAAACCGAAGTAAGGGCAGAAGAACTCTGTAAATTGCTCTTTGAAGTAAAGAAGATGCTCAAGAAGTACTCTCACAAAGATTAACTTACTAATATAGAAGATGTGTTAAATATGAACTTCACAAGTATATTGTATCACTAACACTTGTTTTACTAACATTTAGATTAACATGGAAAGGATCTCCTACTCTTGGGTTTTTAGTTAGTGTGGGTATCTTTCCTTTATCCTTAGATGTAGTCCCCCTTCCTTTATTTTTCATTGTAGTTAATAGTCTTATGAAAAATAATAAAAATGCCCTCTCAGGGGTTTTAAAAAAAACATTTCCAGCCACAGGATCCTACCTAATATTTCTCTGAGTTTTTTGAAATCAGCTTTTCTGAAGTCCAGGATACAAGTTCTACTATGTCCTGGTTTCACATCCTTCTCTATGTCAAATTCCAAGCTGACATGGTCACTATTCCCCAAGGATCCCACAACATTCACTTCATCAACCAGTTCTTCCCTGTTGGTCAAGATTAAATATAGGATACCAGATCCTCTGGTTCCCACCTCCACCTTCTGAGAGATGAAGTTGTCCTCAAGACTATTCAAGAATCTGCGGAATGCTCCATGTCTAGCAGAGTTAGATTTCCAGCAAATATCTGGATAGTTGAAATCTCCCATAACCACTATATCCTGTCTCTGTGAAAGTTTAACAAGCTGTTATACAAATGCATCATCCAGTTCCTCTGATGGGTTCGGAGGACTGTAGTATACCCTCACACCATGACTGTTGCTTGCTTATTTCCCCCCCCTAATGGGCTAGCACAGCTATCTATGTCTGTTATCTGGGGGGAAAAACCCCTACATTTAGCCATTCAGATCCTAGAGCAGGAGAAAGACCGTGGTCACACGGTCATTTTGATTGGGTTTCACCGCTGTTCCCTCTTGCATTTAAATTTGCTGATCAGATGCCCGAATCTGTCTCCCACACCAAAGTGGGATCACTCACATGATCCTCCCGGTTCCCTAGCAACTTTTCCAACACCGGGAAAATCAAATACTTTCCGGGTATTTGCACTTTTGAATCCGTGATTTCGCTGATCTGGACAGCCATCTCTCACAATGATTGTGATTAGGTCATCTGACTGTCCTTCGCGCGATGAGCCCCCCCCCCCCGCTTCTGGCTTTGCACGCATGAGCAATCCTGTGCTGAATAAATTCAATGTTTAAATGTTCAAGCGCACATATAGACTCCAGTGCTTGGTAGTACGTCACCGGTTCAGTTTGTTTGCTGTTGGGGGGGGGAGGGCTGTAAAAAAGGGACTACAGCAAGTCCAAATGGGGGCGTTGATTCGGCCATGTGCATATGTGCATGTGCATGCGCGAAGCATTTCTTTTTTAAAAAACTCACGCTGCGCTGCCTAAGCGGCAGCTGCTCAAGTGATGGTGCAGCTATCTAGACAGTGCCTAGAACCTTGTCGTGCAATGCTTGCGGTTTGGGGAGGGATGTGTGATCGTCCCAACCCCCCCAAAAATATTCCTGATCAAATCTATAGCAGGAACAAATTGCAAGAAGAAGAAGAGATTGTATTTATACCCTGCCCTTCACTACCCAAAGGTGTCTCAGAGCGGCTTACAAACTCCTTTCCCTTCCTCTCCCCACAACAGACACCCTGTGAGGTAGGCGGGGCTAAGAGAGCTCTTGACAGAAACTGCTCTTTTTAAAGAACAGCTCTTATCAGAACTACGGCTTACCCAAGGTCATCCAGCCAGGTGCAAGTGGAAGAGTGGGGAATCAAACCCGGTTCTTCCACGTTAGAGTCCGTGCACTTAACCACTACACCAAACTGGCTCTCAAATAAGCTTGGTGCCAAAGAGGGCCTTCTACCACCTAACAGTGGAACTTTGCTTATGGGAGCTGTGCTTTCTGGTCACTAGGAAATGCTGCTCCATTTGGCTTTTATTGATTTTTTTTACATACTGCACCATCTAAAATTAACTCCCACTCCCAGCATTACTAACATAAGGACTGCCATGGTTTTTTTCTGCTCTCTGCCTTGCAAGGGACCCATGTGCTCTTATTAGCACTAGAAGCTGACTCAAATTATATTGCCAAAAGGAGAGAACAACCATTGTCTCATTACAAATAGCAGACCATGAGGCTTTTCCATCATGCTCTGCAACATCTCCCCAAGGCCCCACCCCCTTTTTTTGGGTACTGAGCATTCTGGCTGAAGAAGCATTCTGTGCAACTCAACACCTTGCCCGTTGCTTTGTAACATTTTAGCTGGTCTTATTAAAAGGTATGACACTGCTGTAGAGCTAGGCAACAACCCAGTTGAAGGCAATCAATAGATTGTTTAAAAGCAACTGTAAGGGGTCATTTTCCTGCACAGAGAAAAGACCAAGCATTTCTTGAGTACAGATTTATATAAAAAGCTGGGCATGCTTGCTATAGGATGAGAATCATACTAAGTAGGCAAGAGATTATAGTCATGGGGGCTTCCTCTCTGGTGTGGCTTGCTTAACTGTGTCTGGCAGCAGCAGAAAGACCTATCTCTTGCCATCATATCATTAGCCATGTCAGTCAGTGAGTGACTCTTGACTTGAACCCTTCCCACTTGAGTCCTTACCTGAGAGCTGGTTGACCCATATCCATTCTCACCTGACCCCAAGGCCTCTGCTGTCAAACTCCAGGTGAGCACATGGAGACTAGAGAAACAGGGCTTGCTGAGTTTCCACAATCTTCAGCAGCCACTCAAAGCTGGAACAAGAGCCTGGCTTCCTGCTGTAGTGCTGAAGGAATGTAATCTGTGTCCCTCCTGCCTTTACAGCTATTTTTGGTTTACTGTTAGTAGAGTGGAAAATTTTCACCTAAGTCCCTTGCCGAGGGTGACTGGGCAAGCACGTTGCAGAGCCTTTTGGCTGTCTCTGCCTCTGTTAGGACATGCATACTAGAAGGCAATTAGCAGGCAGCTGATGGTGAGATAAGAAAGGTCCAGAGGAGTTCATGGATGAGAATCTTCAGCTAGATTTCCAACTGTTTCATATGGCTGACATTCTCTTGCTGTAAGAGGGCAGGCAGAAACATAATGGGGCATTGGAGTGGCACTGCAGTGAACTTGAGAAGCTGCCACTGAAATCCTAAGCAAGCACTCAGGTTGCACTGAACAAAGCATAGTAAATCCTTGCCGTGGCCTGAGATTTGGAATAGGGCCTTCTGAAACCAGAGCCTTCTGTCACCACTCAGTTTCTCATTAAAATATTAATGGAGCAAAAATATATATATATATTTCCGGAACTTATCTCCTTGATATTGACTAAATAAAACAGCACTGCTCACATGTGGGCCTGAATGCAGGACCTCTCTCTGGGCCACTTTTGCTCACATGTTGTTTGTTGACACTGTTGGTGGTGGGGGCAATGAAAGCAGTATCATTCACTCACTGATAAACATAATCAGATTTCACAATGCTGTAGTTGTGGTTTGAATCTGGCTCTATGTACGTATAGTGCTGCATTCAGACATCACAAGAACTCTGCTGTCTTTATATCCTCCCTTTCTCTTTTCCCTGCATGCAGAACACAGTTTTGAAGGCTTCCTGGTTTTGGACTGGGCAGCATGACTCAAATGCTGATTTGCTGTGATGTATGAATGCAGTCATATGAGCAACATGGAGTTTGTTTTCCTCTTACAAAGAAAGAACAATTATAACCCATTATTTAATATGTTCTCAATTTCTGTGGAGGAAACTTGTTTCAGGTGGCCTAAGTGCCTACATTTGGACACTGCAGGAGTTTTAGTCAAGGTGTTGCTAATGGGGCACAATGCAAAGTGCTGGCTTTTAGTTAAAGCTCCTAACACCGTTGGTGGAGTATCTGAAAGATATTTTCTTCCTGTCTCAGCCTGCCTATCCATCCACTGAGATACTCATCAGAGGCCCTTCTTTGAGTGCTCCTGCCTTCAGAAGTGGGGCAGGTGATGACCAGGTTTTTTCAGTTGCACTGCCGTGTCTCTAGAACAGCCTTTCTCAAGAGGCCTGCCTTCACTGTTGATGTTCAGCCGTCTTTTAAAGTTTGTTTAATGGCTATCACTGACTTCTGTTCACGGTGACCAAAGGGAACAGGGTTGCCAGCTCTGGGCTGGGAAATATGTGGAAATTTGGGAGGTGGAGCCTGAAGAGGGTGGTGTTTGTGGAGGGGAGGGATTTCAATGGGGTATAATGCCATACAGTCCACCTTCCAAACCAGCCATTTTCTCCTGGTGAACTGATCTCTGTTGCCTGGAGATCAGTTGTAACAGCAGGAGATCTCCAGCTACTACCTGGAGGTTGGCAACCCTAAAAGGAAACCTCTATATTCTAAGGCAGCAAACCTCTGAAAACCAATTAGGGTTGCCAAGTGTATCTTCACCGGCCCGGGAGCGGGGGGGCTCCCGGCCGGTGTCTTGTGCGCGCGTGCAAAGCATGCACGTCACCCGGAAGTGACGGGAGGACGCCAGGCACGCTGGGGGTGGGGCCATGGCCATACAAGGGAAAACCATAGAGTTTTCCCTTGTATGGCCGTGCCCCCACCCCAAGCGGTCCCGGCGTGCCTGCGTCACTTCCAGGTGACGCGCACGTTGGGGTGGAGTTCCCCCCGGGGCCCGATCCGACTTGGGATCCCTAAAACCCATGCTAGGAGGCAGCATCAGGGGAAGGCCTTGCCTTCTGTGTCCTGTTTTGTTGGCCCTTCAGGGCAACTGATTATCCACTGTGTCAATAGGATGCTGGATTGATGGACCACTGGTCTGATCCAGCAGGGCACTCTTGTGCTGTTCTGCTTTTGCTTAGGGTTGTTTTTTTGGGGGGGAGACTAGTTTGGTACAGGCATGCACAAGGTATTGTGCATTACTAGAAGTGAAATGAAAGTTGTAGTCAGGATCAGGAATGCTCAAGTAAACATACTGGAAGAATCACTGTGACACACACCCATTACTTTTGACATTACCACTTAGTTGCTCCCTTCTCTCCCCATTCAGGGCCCAGGTATGTTAGTCAGTCACAGGTTTGCCACTATCTGGTCTGTGTTTATTCTTACAAGAGCCCTGATCCTTTTAAACACCAGGTCCTCTCTGAAACACCACAAGACAGGGCAATCCATTTCCCTCATCAGCTGCCCCTCACCCAAATATTTCCCCAAGCTATTGGGGTAGGGGACTAAATACTTCTTTCCTTTTCAAGCTGCCACCATACAGTAAGATATATAGGCTGAGGCCTGACTGATCTTATTGAGACACTTCATTCTCAGTCAGCATGGACATACACAAAAGAAGTTAACTTTTATTTAAAACTTCAAGTTGGAGTGGTCTATGTACTCAGATACAATGTTTCTCAATAGTTGAACTCTTGATCCCTAACTAGGGATGCCAGCCTCTATGTGGGACCTGGGGAATCCTCTGGAATTACAGCTCATCTCCAGACTACAGAGAGTAGATCCTGTGGAGAAAAAAGATGCTTTGGAGGGTGGACTCTATGGCACTGTATCCCACTGAGGTCCCTGTCCTCTCCAGGCACCATCCCTATATCTCTAGGACTTTCCCAACCTGTATCTGACAACCCTACCCCCACATCCCCTGCCGGTGGCCAGGGAGGATCTGGCAACCCTAAGTCTCTTCCAGTCCTTCCAATTCTCAGTTACAAGCTATATATTGTTTCTAGTTGGCTTTCAATTCAATCTCTCTACTCCTTTTTTTTTCCTTTCCCCCAACTGCAAACTGTCATCGTCCTCTCATCAGCATTCTGTCAGCTCTCACTGGTTATGTTCTGAGGGAGGTGGAACAGGACCTGTCCATCACAACAACAGTTTTTGCTGTGAGTGCAGTTCTTGTTGTCTCCAGGAAAATGAGAGATTTCTATTTATTTTCTCATGAGTCACTAAATTAAAGGGAAGCCACTGGGGTAGAAGAGGTCAGCTATCAGCTTATGACCTACACATCTGTGGGGAGCGGCAGCTTAATAGGGTTCATTAGGTTCCTTGTACACTGACTGGAATGATTAATTTCTTGTTTCCAACCTCAACTAGGGACTGATCTTTTCTTAAGGCTCAACTGGACAAGACTGTGGTGATCTGCGATCAGATCTCTGAATGTCTTTAATTTTCTTTAACACAGCTATGTGTGTGGGAAGAGTATTTGGATCGGGGCCACAATGCTAATAGAGGGAGGAATTGTCTCCCCACACCCTGCACTATTTTCATGAATGTAAATTGGCCTTCCTGATTTGCTAATAGCTCTTGATCTAAGGGGGGGGGATTCCTTGACAGGGCTAATAGCAGTTTATTGGGGGAGTTAACCTTCCCTCCCCCAGCATTGTGGCCTCAGTCTAGATCTCACACATACCACCACAGCTGATTTTAATGAAATGTATAATTGTCGGGGGTGGGGGAATAAAGACAAATCTAAGAAAATTATCTAGTGGCTCAGAATTGTTCCTTCTTTCCTTGTCATCAGTACAAGAAATGCACTCTGTTGAGAAACACACCAGGAGGAGCTGAGGGAATGTACAGTTTTACTGTATTCCTTACTTCCCTCTGTTGACATTTGGGGTTGGGGGGGTGGGATTCCAATCCCCCCCCCGGAAAAGTAAGGCAATGATTGTTCATTATTTTGATACAAAATTTTAATATACACACCAGTTAGGCACAGTACATGCCCTGTCTACTGTACATTACATTTTATATATAATCAGCTGAAGTGGGACATGTACAGGGAGCCAGTGTGGTTTATTGATTAGAACATTGGTCTTGGGTCTGGAAGACCTGGATTCGGAACCCCCCCCCCAACTCCATCATGAAGCATACTGGTGACCTTGGGCCAGCCACTCTCTTTCAGCCTCACCTGCCTCACAGGGTTTTTGTGAGGATAAAATGGAGAATGGAAAACCATGTTAGGTCACTTAGATCTCCTTGCAGGAAAGGGGGGATTTTAAGAGATGCACCAGTTAAATATATTCCCAATGAGTGGTGAGCCCATATGTGACCATTTATTCTTCTCCATTGGCGGACTTCCTTCCAGTGTGGTGTGGCGTCGGGCGTTTTTTTCTGGAGGCTCCCAAGCCGCCTGATCCTCTTTTTGTTCTTTTTGAAGCTCCCCAGTCTTTTCAGACTGCTCTCTCGGAGGGACAGCAGATAGCAAGAGGCTTGTTTTCAGCCACACACAACACACAGCAAGTATGTGGGAGAGGCCATTTCTGCCTCAAGGCAGGAGCGATCGACGGAGCAAAAACATGGTCGCCATGTTTTTGCACAGCTGCAGCCAGCCGTTTTAAAAGACCAACTATTTTTCTAACATGACAAGAATTATAACAAGAATGAAGAAGATAGGATTTATAGGAAGACCAAGTGTATTTCAACCATAACAAGGCGATTAACTGTGTTAAAATACCCCTTTTGAATTCTTTTTTTTTCTCTTCTCCTAAAATTTGGAAACTGGCCCAAGTGAGAAAGGAGAATGAAGTCTGTGTGAGTGATTCATGGGGGTAAGAAGATAACTTTACTCATTTAAACTGTACTTAAAAATGCCGTCTGCAGGATATTTGAACTGTTGCCAAGGCTTTCTTCTTCATAATTGTCCAGAGCTACAGTGACTAATTTAAAAGAAGTAAGAAAAATGAGTAATGAAATAAATGGCGGGGATATGGAGGAAGGACAGAGAAAATTTGGAAATTGGCCAGCTTACTGTGGAGCAATTTAAAAAGCTATTGCTAGATGAATTTCGAAGCGCGTTTAAGGAGGCTTGTAAGAGTTTATTGGAGAAACCTTAGAACTTACTTGTGGGTTGTGATGGGGAAAAAGAGGGGAATCAATCACAGCCCCAGCAGTATACTGTGGAAGACGAGACCAGAAGGCAAAGTACCACTGTGCAGGAAACATTGGCTCCACGCAAGGAAGGATTTGAGAAACTCAAAAAACAGGATCATGAAACTGTAGGGGAAATCAGGCAAAGCCGCGAGTCAAAATGCAGCCCTGCAGCTTCGGATGTGAAATTGACCAATAATATCGGGGCAAATGGCGGTGCAACATCGAGGCAGCTCTAGTGCGAAATCAGTCAAATACTTGAATCAGGAGCAGGTGTTTCAGTCCAGTTCCGTAGCTGCATCTTAACACGGGAACACAGGAATGTAAGGAGGGAAGCACCCATAAGATTAAATGCTTAATAAAGGTTTGAGCATCAAATTAAGGAAGCTTTTTAAAAGTCCATGTTTGGTGACTTTTGGTCTGGCTTGCTAATTGGGGTTCAACTGGTAGATGATGGGGGAGCATTAGTATTTTTAGCTGTTTAAATGTAATGTTATGAGACATTTTGAATTTGTTACTTGACCTATTGTCATTCACCCCAAGAGTTTGGGGCTAGCTTGTGCTTTCAATACAATTAATGTATGCTTAGGAAATGAAGAAGCCTCTCCTGAAATAATACTTGAAAATCTAATTCCTTTGAAAATTCTTAGTAGGCAAGTGGCAGTGGGTCCCTCCCTGACCCCTACTAATTGCTCTGAGTTCATTCGTCTCATGACTCACTGTTTTATTCTGACCCCTTAGTTGAGTTACACTTTTGTAACCTATCCCTGCCTATCCATTATATTCATATATAATGTATGGAGGCTACTCTGATGAAAGAAGGTGTTCATGTACGTAAGTCTTTGCTGAGGAATCTGGGAGAGGGCAGGAAGGAACTCTGTTTGTCCTGGGTGCCTGGGAAGATGGAAGACGACTCAGACAGTTCCGGCCGAGACTCATCCTCCTGGTCTCTAATACTACACTGGCCATGAAGCTGGAACCTTGTGTGAACTAATCCTAAGAGGAATCTTGTTTGCTCTCCGCTAAATCCAGCTGAACACTCTCCCTCTTTTGGTACTAAAGTCAAAGATTTTAAGAAAGGCGTTGAAAAAGAAGAAAGGCGAGGGCAATTTGGGCAGCCGAGGAAGCCAGTCATATCCTACCTTCTATAGCTAAAAAAGCTCCAGCCCCTTTGCATTGCCCTGCCATCTGATGCCCATCTTTCAAATATTAATGCAATGCTAATTGTGACTCCCTGACCTCCACCCTTTCTCCTGCTGGCATTTACCACACAATGCAGTCTCTGGCTGCCTCTAGACAGAAGGACTGAGGTCTCCAGTTTCTGCTCCTTTCAAGACTGGTTATTATTCACTGGTCGGTTAAATTCTGACCTCCTTACGGACCAAATCCAATCAAGGCACTATTTATCTTCTATGGTGTGTTCTAAATGGACTTGCAAGGCACAGGGCTGGCATGATTGGTATGTATCTTTTTGAACAATTCCATAATTTGTGTTGTCAGTTATGTTCAGCAAGGCTGTAGCTCACAAGACATTTAACACCGGAGCATATGGAGTCCTCTGCTGGTGGTGGTGGTGGGGGGGGGGGGCTACCATTTTTTTGGGAGTTCAATCTCTACCAGTAGGACTAAAAATGTAATGTCTTGTTCTCAAAATACAAGCTACATTCAGGATGTTTAAGTATCTTGAAATCTAATTGTTTCAGAATAATTACGTTACGGTTTATTCTCTGGCATGCAAATTGTCTCACTGAATTATAATATTCCAAAATTAGAATTTGCAATTCTACTGCTTGGACTGATGGCCCAACCTTGTCAGATCTCAGAAGCTAAGTATTGTTGGCCCTGAATAGTATTTTTATGGGAGACCACCAAGGAAGTCCAGGGTTGCTATGTAGAGGCATGCAAAGAACCTCTGAACTTCTCTCGCCTTGAAAACCCTTCAGAAGCAACAAAAATATGCTGCAATTTGACAGCACTTTATACACAAATACATCTTGGGCTGGATATATTGCAATTAGTTGGTGGGACAAGAGTTACAGACATGTTGTTAATTATTTGAGGTTACTTTGTTTCTAATTAATTATTGTAGTGAGAAATGAAAAAGAAAATATTCAAGGTGGTCTTTCCTTCTAACAAGAATGGGTAGTTTGGGATTAGTAAATTCCTGGTTAATATTTCTTTCCATATATCAAAAAGACACCTATTTAGAAGTTCTGGTGATATATAAACATATTTCAATTAAATGGTTAAAAGGTAGAGGATTAATCAATTAAACACTCTTTAGCTGGGTGATGGTCCCTCAATGCTCTATGGCACTAACTGCACACACATCACCCCCCAGCCCCCCCCCCCCCCCCTGCACGGCCAGAATACAAAGACATCAAACATAGAGGACACACCCACATAAGACGTCCCTTAATGCCCTGTTTAGACAACCACCACCTCCTCAGTCAGATTCTATCTCTGCTTAGGAATGGAAACATGTTCTGCATGCACCAGAGTTTTGATAGCAGCAAATAGTACCAAATGCACTCACATACAGAATATGAACCTAGCATCAGCAGAAGAAAGATTAGTGCTCCAGGGGCACATCATAGCTATTGATTGATTGGATTTATAGCTCTCCCTCCCCTGCACAGCAGGCTCAGGGCAGGTAACAACAGTGTCAAAAACAATACCATAAGTTAATTATTAAATTATTAAAACATTTAAGCTATAAACTAGATCAACATGCTACTTTTAATCAAATACTATTAAATGTGAAATTAAATGTTTCATGGGTTTGTATGATCTCTCTCATTGATAATCTTTCTCATTGATAAAGCTGTACGCACCATATGGTACATTCCAGTGTTTTTCTCACAACCATGCAGAAATACAAAGGGAGCTGGCATGGTGAATTGCTGTGTTATCTTCTCCACTTTGTTAAGTTCTGAAGACCTAGAAGGGAAAAACCCAATATGGCAATGGAAATGTGCAAGAAGTGTTTGTGTTGAGTCCATGCATAAAGGCTTCAAAGTGGCTGCCGTAAAGATGTGAAGGCCCGGAAAAAAATCAGAAAAATTCAGGGGGAAACCATTTCCCCCCCATTTTTCTCCTGAAGCCTTTTTTGTTATTTCTGAAAAATTGGAAAAATTGAAAAAGGAAAAGAAAAAAATCGATTATGGAATGTTTTATTTTAACATGATGAATAAAATATTTTAAGACAAGGTGTTCAAATATTTTCCAAATCATTTCTAAATCCCTTCCAAATCCCTTCTATACACTTCCCCCCTCTTCAATTCTTTTTATGAGAATAGGGTTTTTTATATTTTTATGAGAATGTGGAGAGGAAATATGAATAATTGCTACTTCTGGATTTTTAAAAAATTGTTTTGTGGAGGTCTTTTTGTCTGTTCCACATACACTAGTAAACAGTTCAGGAGATTGTTGCTCCATTTGTTACAATTACAAATAAATATTATAAAAAAGTAAATTCTGTTTGTAATATTTGTTTGGATACACTATATTTTTAATATGCTAGTTGTGATAATTTCATGCCAAGTAAAATTGTCCATAGTCATATTTTATGTTCCTAAAGTAACAGAATGACTTTCAATGCTAATGTAGCATTTTTTTCAATTTTTCCAAAAAAAATCCATTTTTTTCTGGAAAAAATTATACCCTTCTAAGACCATTTGAGGGTAAAAGTCTGCTTAGGGTGGCATTGTGAGTATCTTTCATTTCAGAGCAGTCCCTAGTTATTACAGAGATACTGAAGCTGCTGTGTGGCTCTACAGTTTGACATCAAAAGGGGAATAAGAGAACATTTTAACATAAAATAATTGTTTTCAATTTTCAAAGATGAAACTTCTAAATGTCGTTTATGTATTTTTGGACCCAGCAGCCAACGAGACAATTTCAGACTCACATAAGTCATACATCAGAGATGCAGAAAAAAGAAACAAGCAACACTTTCCAAAAAGCAACTGGTGAGTTGATCTTCCCAAGAAAACCAGAATGCACCAACAAATACAAGTGCTGAGGACACCTAGAAGACAAAATGGAGAGGATCGAACAGGGAAGTGGTTCAATGGGATGTTTATGGTGCAGGGAAGACTTTTACTGCTCATGATCATCAGGATGATCTGTATGTTATGCTAGCCAGAAATGATATAAACTCACGTGGCACACCACCATATGCTCAACAGAACAACCTCAGTTCCTCTAGTCCAGGAGTGGCCAAACTGTGGCTTAGGAGCCACATGTGGCTCTTTCACAGATATTGTGCGGCTCCCAGCAGGTTGGCTGCGGAAGTGAAAGGAAGGCATGTCTCCCTGGTTGGTCTTTCCTTCTTCTTGCTTTCCTTCGACCTCCCCCTCCCATCATTTCCTTCTTTCCTTCTTTCCTTCTTTCCTTCTTTCCTTCTTTCCTTCTTTCCTTCTTTCCTTCTTTCCTTCCTTCCTTCCTTCCTTCCTTCCTTCCTTCCTTCCTTCCTTCCTTCCTTCCTTCCTTCCTTCCTTCCTTCCATCTAAAGTTAAATATCATTATCAATATCTGTCTTTACCCCTTTTGTTTTTATTTTTGGCAGTCTCATTTAATGTTAGTAACAAAGTAAATCTGCATATTTTCCAATAAAAACATGCGGGTTATATTTGTTCATGTCTTGTAGCTCTCAATTATCTGACATTTATTCTATGTGGCTCTTACGTTAAGCAGGTTTGGCCACTCCTACTCTAGTCCAATCACAATGCTTGTATAGGCCACTTTCTCTCAGGCCAGGAGCAGAATGTTCATTTGAGGTTCCCCTTCCTTCTCTCTGTTCTCTCTATCAATGTCATTTGCTTACCTGAAAATTAGATATATGTTTAATCTTTTTTTTTGGGGGGGGTGTCTATATTTAACATCTAATCCTGTTCCTGAGATTACAGTTCTACTGACTAACAATGGTATCCTAAGCATTTACAGCCTTCTAAGTCCATTGAAGTCAACTGGCATGTGCATATATGTGCTAGCAGCAGACCTGGATGACTACAGCAAGGGGCTTTCATGACAAATGAGCAGCAGAGGTGGTTTGCCATTGCCTTCCTCTGCAGAGTCTTCCTTTGTGGTCCCCCATCCAAGTACAGACCCTGCTTAATTTCTGAGATCTGATGAAATTGGACTATACCATATCTTTCCACATCCCCAGTTAGCTTAAAAAGGTATAATTCTACAGTGGAGTTTGAACGGTGCAAATCTGCTTAGTATTGCACTATAATATGATTGCCTTGGAAGGAAAATTAAAATGATATTATCATTTCAAACTTTAAAACATAGTGTATGCCAATGCTGATTTGGTTCGTCCATTTATAAGACAATTTTCCCTTTAAAAAGGGGGCCTGTGCTTGCATCACATCCTCTATTTCTTTAGACTGGACCTTTCAGATGGTTATTTAAATTAGACCCAATAGCAACAATTACTTAGGTCACTTATTGTCATGCATTACTGATTGAGACTTTGTGCCATGATTAGTGATGTCTTAAAGTCCTACTTGCTATAAGCTGCAAATTCCAGGTTTCATTAACCGATTTTGATGTACTTATATAAAATATGTCGCAGTTAGAATGGTGAATAGAGTACATTTTTCCTTTGGATCATTAAAGAGAGATGATTAACCTGTAGAACAGAAATGTTTAGGATTACCCATGAAGGACACTAGCATTTCTTCAGGTTAGTATTGTATTGTATGCCATGCCGAGTCTTGATTCAAGAGAAAAGCAGTTTAAAATGCATTTTAAATATACAAATAAATGTTTATTTGTCCTTTTCTTTCAGCTCCAAAGATCTCCACCACACCGAAAGCCCATGAATCCAACAAATTGGTAGCAGAATTAAAGATCAATAAATCTCTTCAGAAGGCCAGGATCACAGCATTGTTTTCAAACTCCGTAGGTTGGACAGTGATAACCAGTATTTTATCATCTATCTCTTGCCTTCCCCATGACCTCCCCAGGGGATCTCCCTCCTCCAAATCCATTCTAAGTATTATTTCACTAACTTCTGTTAGATTAGGCCTGGTCATTCATCTGACCTAGGGACCAAGCTAACCTTCACAGCAGAAGTCTCAACTTTCTCCTCTAGATAGTCCCACTTTGATTACTTTGCGCTACTTAAGAAGACATGCAGTTTAATGTTTTGAGGGACAGTCCTGACATATATCTTTAAACTGATATAAAGGCCACTTACAAATACAACTGTATTCTATGCAGGGTGAAAAGAGAGAAAAAACAGAAGTAAAAATACCGAGCACTCTCCTTGTAATGCTGGAGGAGCTGGGAGCCTCAGATATTGATGCCCTTGTGCCTACCCATGATGAGCGAGGATGTTCCATCCCAGAGTGGAAGCGGCAGGTGATGGTGAGGAAACTGCAGGCCCAGCTGGCATCTGAAGAAGGAATGAGCAGGAAGGTACTACACTGAATTAACAGAATGAAAAAGTGTCACTGCACTGCTTCCTTACACTGCTTGACCTTCCAACAGCTATTTGATTTTATACATTTACTAGCAGTAAAGCCCATTGTGGAAATAAATACAACGAAATCTAGAAAGAGGGGAGTGCTCTGGCTTAGGGCAAACAGTGTCATTTTGCTGTGGTGACCTCAGCAGGGTATAATGACAGAGTCCACTGTTTTCTCCAGAGGAACTGATCTCTGCTCCCTGAAGAGCAGTTGTAATTTTGAGTGATCTGTAGCCCTCACCTGGAGATTGGCAACAATTGTTACCCAGGATGAAATGGCTGGTTTGGAGGGTGTAGTCTATGGCATTCTATCTGTCTGAGGTCCCACCCCTCCGCAAACCCCACCCTCTCCAGGCTCCACCCCTCAAATCCCCAGGAATTTGCCAGCCTGGAGTTGGCAACCCCATCTCCTTCCCAGCTAACCATCAACCTACCATTATCTGCCCCTTTGTCTTGAGCTGACATCCGCCCTCCCTTCTGCAGAGCAATTGTAATTTTGAGTGGTCTCCAGCCCTCACCTGGAGATTGGCAACAATGGTTCCCCATGAGGGACTGAGTGGTTTGGAGGGTGGAGTCTATGGCATTGTACCTGTCTGAGGTCCCACCCCTCCTCAAACCTCACCCTCTTCAGGCTCCATCCCTCAAATCTCCAGGAATTTCCCATCTGGAGTTGGCAACCCTATCAGGACTGGCCCCAATGTGTTTTCTCCCAAAGGCCAAAGTAGGTGACTGGACCAAACTAAGTTGCCTACCATCAGGCACTGAGGGGAAAGTTGGGTTGCCTGCTCTAAGGAGGGAAATACCTGGAGTTTTGGGGGGTGGATTCTGTAGAGGGCAGCATGGGGGGGGGCGGAAGGACTCAGCAGGTATAATGTCATAGGGTCTACCCTCCAAAGCATCCATTTTCTTCAGGGGAACTGATCTCTGTCATCTGGAAATCAATTGTAGCAGTGGGAGATCTCCAGGTCCCACCTGGAGATTGGCAACCCTAGGGGAAAGTCTGCTGCACAGCAGGGGGTTGAAGAGAATGGTTTGATGGGTGCTGGGCCAAGATTGGCAACAATAGTTCCCCAGGAGCAAATAGCTGGGTTGGAGGGTGGAGTCTATGGCACTGTAACCTGTCTGAGGTCCCCCTCTCCGGCCTCCACTCCTCAATTCTCCAGGAATTTCCATACCTAAAGCTGGCAACTTTATTTCCTCCCCTCTCAGTAGCCTCTTATTTTGCCTTAAATTGGTTTTGATGTCAGCAGAGTGAGAAAATGCCAGAGGCTCTGGGTGGGTGCCCCATCGTAAATGCACCAAACAATTTCTAAAGATTTGCCAAAACACTACTTGGAGTATGAGGTGTGGAATGAAGTCCAGCTTCCATATGCAAAAGACCTTGAAGGTTCCATATGCAACTGACATTCCAACTGCCTTGCGGGGAGGGGGGTGAGTTTGAGGTGTGGAATGCAGTGAAGTCCAATCAGCTTCCATATGCAAAAGACCTTGAAACGCTGGGTGGGACTGCACAAAGCAGCCAGTCAACCCAGCCAGCGTCTTCTGACTGACAGTTCAAGCGTCCATACACTAAAGGAGTGCATTTTAGAACTTTGGCACCCACTATTCAATTATATATAAGGAGAGATTAACATTCCAGTACTTCAATTTTGATTATTTCACTTCATGCACCATTATAATGGAAAATCCTTTTCTTGATTTTGATGTGATGACCCCCCAAAATCTAACTGCTCAAGTTATGATAAGTACAGATTGACAGATCATGTACACAGTATCTTTTTTTGTAAATACATCTTGTTCTGTGACTGGGAGTGGACAGATGGATTTGTAGAGGTCTGGCCAATATCAGGATATCAGCCCAGCTATGGGTAGTGCCTAGTCCACAGAAAATACACTAGCTATTCCAATCTAGACCTCAGTTAAAATTGCAGAAACGGACCTGTGTTTCACTAAAGAAAGTGAAATGAGCCAAGCTTCAGACAAATGAAGTCATATATATGGAAAGGAGACGTTGCTGGGCCACAGTGACAGGGTGCAAGTGTGTGTGATCTCTGCAGAGTCTGTGCTTGTGTGGAGATGTAATGGAGGGAAAGAAGGAGGGGCAGGGGAGGCAGAAAAGGCAGCAGCAAGCAGTCAGGGGGCTTTCCTATCCGCTCCCAGTCTCATGGCTGCTTCCATGTCACCAATGTAGAATTCAGCCCTGGTTGTCCTAATGTTGGTCATGTCACTGTAAACCCCCTACTCCCCAAAAGGAGGGATCTGCTTTTCATGCCATGTTGAATTATACCCATGTGGCTGTATTTTCAAGTGGAAACCATGCCATTATGTATTTTAATTGGGCTTTCCTGCAGACTAACATTTGATTAGTTTTAGTAGATGCAGTTCCTCAAACAGGTGGAGGGTCTCTTAAAATATTGTCCACGTGTGGAGATGATGATAAATAGTCCTTTGACAAAGATAATTTTAGATTAGGTGGTTGCTTGATGATGAACAAGATGATTTCCAATTCTACCAGACTCTGTGATTCATTGAACTTGATTACTTCTTTGACTATTGATTTGGGGAGTATCGGGGAAAGGGACCTGAATTTAGCTTGTAACAATTCTATGTTACACCTTCCTTGCTTTCTTCCCTTTTCCAGAACAAGAAAGGCTGTGCTCTGGAGCAAGATGACTGGCAGTATTCCCAGGCACACAATGCCATTCTGGGTCCCTATGGGGAGCTTCTGACTGAGGATGACCTACTGTATTTAGAGAATCAGATTGAGAAGCTGCAGATGAGGAAGAAGTGCCAGGAGTATGAGAGTGAGCTAGGACGCCTGACAGAGGAATTGCAGACAGTTCTCCCAACTCCCATTGTCAATATTACAGTGAACAGTCAGTTTCTGCAGCAAGGATCTGAGGAGAACAGCCAGGAGCTCCCTGCCTGGTGCAGCCACATGTCTGGAGTGGTAAAGAGCATGTCTCTGTTGCTTAACAACATCAATGGAATGAAGAAAGAAGAGAATGAGAGACTAGCTCCACAGGTACTTCCTAAATCACGAAAGAATGATGTTATGTCCGGAGGGTCTGCCAAAAGAGAGATCCTGGAGTGTGGGGTCTCCGTAAAAAATCTAAGAGGCAGTTTTGAGAAACGAGCTCTCTTGGGACAACACAAACCCTTTGAGCTCCAAGGACTGAAAGCCATGCCCTGGGAACATGGAACAGGGAAGGAGAGAAGTCCACAAATGTTATCATATGTTTGTGAGGGCAAGAAGAAAATTCTTTGTGAGGACCATGAGTCTGGAGACATGGAGAATGCCAGTGATTCTGGCATCAGCTGTGAGGAAGCCACCTCTGAGGTGACTGGGTCTCCTGTCTCCATAGCAGAGTCTAGCGTGCTCCGAAAGGAACGTATTGTGCTGCTTTTTTTAAGTCACTGGAAAAAATCTGCCTACACTCCTTCCCTGAAGTTCATGGCTAGGAAGACCGTAAAAGCCTCAGATCCTGCAAAGGTGGGGCTGGTAGACATTATGGCAGAAGTTAAGAAGCAGCAAGCTCCTATGCAGAAGCCTTTGGTGGAAATGAGCAAGCTTGGCCATTTAGTTCGACAGAGATATGCTATCAAAAATCTAATTGACCGCTGGAAGGACATAATCTCTCTTGTACCATCTCGGCAGATCAGGCGCCTTAGTCACCAGCACACAGTCTATTCCCCAGAACAGTTTCTCCCATATGTGAATGGTAAGCCTGCTGATTACAATAGCTTAACTCTTGACCTGTTTATGCTGGGCTATTTCCACATCCTAGAGCTGGACCTCTCCCCTGAAGAACGGAAGAGAAGGCATCTCCTTTGCTTTGAAGTCTTTGACCACTTGGGTAGGCATCGATGGGAAACAGTGCGTGCCTTTCACAAAGCAGTGATCGATGAGATTGTTGCAGGCAAAAGAGGCTGGAAAGATAGCTTTGAGGACATTAAGACAAGGTTTTTCAGTAACTCAGTCAATAACATAGAACTCAAAACATCATCTGTTGAAAGAAATCTGAAATCGGAATCCAGCAATAGTGTGGTTCTTGAGCAGGGAGATGGTGTTCCACGAAAATGCTTTGAGCTAGGAAGCTTCAGTAATGATGAAATCTGCAAGTACATTGAAAGGAGCTTTGCCTTCTGGAAAGAAAAAGAAGCAGAGATGTTCAGTGTTGAGGGTTCAGGTCATCCTTTACATTAGCAGTCTTTATTTATGAATGGGAATCTATGATCCAGAATGCATAGAGGGGCCTGCTGAAGATTCTCCTAATAACTTCAAAGAGCTCTACTGAAAGTCTTCATGGAAAGACCAATGATTTTTGGCATTGTCCTTTGACATATGATTAATTATTATTCCATGGGCACTGCATGGAATAAGCAGACACAAACTGGTAATTTTGTAAGAAGCTGGAACTGCTGCAAGACTGAAGCGTTTTTTTTGGGGGGGGGCAAACTACATGTTTGTAGCCAGGAGTAACAAACCTATGGTGGCCTTTCTCCATTGCAAAATGTTATCTGGAGGAAGGACAGGAGGGAAGAGGGTGCTTAATTCTTCTTTAACTAGTCATTTTGCTCCTGAAATTTCCCCTGCCCTAGCAGCTTTACCCTTTCCAGTGTTCCCAACCTTGTAAATATGGGCAAAAACCCAGCGGGTATAAAAACAACTTAATGGTGATGAGGATTTACCCTTTTTCTCCTTGGGGGACAAATGGATAAAGAATAGGAGCCATTGGGGATCCATTGCATGTAGCTTTAATGTAACATCTAAGCAGGAGGCTGTCAGGGTACCCATGACATTAGCCATTCTTTACATTTTTTTTTACTAATTATTCTTAAATAATGTGTTCTGAAATGGCATGACAATACATGTGTTTGTAGCATATGAATTCCCATATGCATATCCGTTCATCTCCTTAAAGACATGCTTGGTAAGCCACTAACAGAAGGTGGTCATTTGAACAAGTGTCTGAAAGCTAAAATAATTATGTATCTGATAATTTAAAAATTGCTAGGATTACCATGTTCCAGGCACTTTCCATTAAGCACTGCAGGGCCAGTTCATGTATCTGTCCTGATGTGATACATCTGGCTATTATATTGAGGTTTAATTATTTTCAGATTTTTATATCCGCTGTGGTTAGCATTTATTTGTCTTCCCACTTTTCAAAAAGTCATGGCTATGTAGAACAAAAGAAATGTGATCTGGATTTTTCCATTTTCTACACGTTTACTGTAAATAATACAACAGCGAAGTAGTGCAACCTAAAAATGTTTTCAAAGAGAAGGTTTGCAACAAAAAGGTCCACAACCTTTGGCTCTGTCCTTGGTACATGCTGAGTCCCTTAGAACACTGTAGTGGGTCTTATACTAGTGAATGAGAATATATGAACATCATGTTTACATCCCTTGCATGGACTGAACATGATCTGAATGAATATCATTGTATAAATGTTTCATTTTGTAATTATATCTATTTTTAAAAGTTACACTTCACATTTTTAAGCAATTCCAGGTTTTAATAAAAAATTCAATGTGAAATATTATTATTCTACGGAAATGATTGGTAAGATAAATTACAGTTGAATAGCATTAGTCAAAATGTGTCTTAGCTTAAGAATTTTCCCCCAGGAACACAAAAAATTGTATTCATTTGTACCAAAGAATATCACAGAGGAGTAGCTAAGAGGAAGAGACTCTGGTTCAAAAGTTACCTCTGTTATAAACTCATGGGGTACCCTGGGTAAATTGTTCTGTCATCCTCAGCCACCCATCTGCAGTATGGGATAACAACACCAGCATACCTTACTGTTGTAAGGATTATTTATTCAATACAATTATACACGACTTTTCTGGCACTGCATTCCAGATGATTTTCAGTCACACTAGCACCTACAATACAATATATACAATACAAATGTGAAAAAGGGACAGAAAAGGTAGAAGAAAACAGGTACATTAATTTCCTTACATAACATAAATAGCTGTTCTGTGACCAGTACAAGAGAAAGTTCTGGAAGGAGACAAGCCACATGGCAGATGGTCCCTAGCAGGCTAATTATGACATGAAATTGTATGCCTTGAAAATACTTTGAACATGGTAAGTGCTATATAAATGCTGTGTTATCATTTTATATATATATGGGTTTCTTGCAAAACAAAATCTTTCTTGGCAACATGAATCAAATTTGCTCTCTTAGGATCCTCTATTCTAAGTGCCAAAAGAATTCAAGCCTGCCATTTCCTAGTAAAGGAAAGGCAAAACATTAGGAGCACGTTTATTTACAACAAGAAGACTCCTTCTTGTTCCTTATGATGATTTCTGCTTGATCTAGAACATTTAAAAAGCATATTTGCTAAAGTAGTGAATGTGAAACACTTGACACAATTATTGTCAGTATCCCCCCCCCACACTAGTCTCTTCAGGCCACAAAGCCACACAGCAATAAGGTTCTGCTACTGTGGTTGTACAAGGCAAAGCAATTTTCCTATTTGTGTGATCATGCTCCATTGTGTGAAAAAGAAGGGACAAAATTCCTGTAGTCAGTCATAGGGCAGACCTCAAGAGCATGAGATCTAGGCAGGCTGGATCACCCTGGAATCTGCGTGGAATTACTTTTGCCTGCCACATTCAGCCACTTCATTTATGACCACAAAACTACTCTAGGTCTATTTTAGTGTTTCTTATAGGACGGTGACATCAGGAATGGTAATAATGGTCTACTCTTCCCTGCAGGTGCAAATGCTGCAGCTCTCAACCCTTTCCTCTGTGACCATTGCCTCAGTTTATTTATGGACATTCCTGGGGAAGGAATAAGGTACTACTGAGAGGTCCCACTTTCACTGCTAAGCACTGACACAAGTATCTCATGGGGCTATATTTAGGTAACAACAGTTGGGTCAACAGATATTTTTGAGAAGGAGAAGAGGAGAGAAAGTTCTCAAGTCATTACTGAACAAAGGATGTTGTTTCCTTTGCATTGTTATCCTTTTGTCTGGTCTCCCCGTCAGCACTTGGGTTCTCTGCAGAATCTGTTTCTCATGGCCCACACCTTCCTGTCTCATATGCCACCCTCTCCTTACTCTTGATTTCACTCATTCAATAGTTACTTAATTGTGCTGAAAAGTTGCGTGCCATCCGTTCCTCTTCCCTCAATATTGCACTTTGGTGTTGGAGAATTGGTGTGAAAAATAGATAGAATGAGTGCTGCCTGGAAATCGGCAGTGTGAGTTTCACAAGCCTCAACTAATTTTTGTCTGTGACAAGCAATATGATACTCCCTGTCCTTGCCAGTGCCATGTTGAGTTCATTTTGTCTTTCTGATTTTGCTGTCCTTTACCTACTGTGGGAAAAAGAACTTATAGCCTCCCCTGTTCTACCATGTGAAGGAAGTAGCAGGAAAGTCAGTCGCCCAAGTCATTTCCTCTTTTGGGGCTTTCCCTCATGCCCCAGAAGAAAATCCTTTTCCATACGACTGCTTTTTACATAGCTACTAGGCTTTGTGGGGTTTAAAAAAAAAAAAAAATTGGTGCCGGAACTCTCAAGAGGGAAATGAAGTTTTCAATCTGTATACTGAAAACTCATGAACTTTTAAGCATTTTAAAAAGAATTTTGTTGAAGAGGTTTCGAAACTCCATTCCGGCACGTTCCGCCAGAAAAAAAGCCCTGATAGCCTACCGTTAAAGTTGAATTCAAATCACTGTCCAGTCTAACTGTGGTTAAATAGAAATAAACTCCAGTCCATCTTGTGTATGGCCTTCTGTACATGACTAGCACTTTTAAACAGCTTACTTGCTAAGGTATTGTACTTTTGACAAAATAACCTGAGGGAAAATCCCCCAAGTTACCTCTACTCTACAGGTACATAGAGCATGATGAAGGAGTGATTGCTTAAGACTAATGCAGCCACACATCCATGATGCAACCACACATCTTAAATGATGTTAATTTTCCTATCAGTAACCAGGATTAAACCCTGGTTAAGAATCCAGTATATGGGGGATGGGAATTAATTCCACTTAACCTGTCCCTTTTAAAAGTTTTTAAAGTTTCCATGAGCTTTCCCATCACAATTTATTCTGCATACTAAGCAAATTATGGGGAGTCAAGCCTCTGGGCAATTCTGTATCCAAGAAGAGATCATGAAGTTTTTAACCATGTGCAGACAGGCAACTAAACCATGTTTGGCTGCGGTCACACAGAGCATAAGCCACGCTTCAAAGATGGAAGAGAGGCGGAGTTTCCTGGCGCGATCACAGGGCAACAGCTGGCAAGTGTAGAGCTCCCGTCCGTAACCCGTGGCTAAACGCCAAAAACGCGGAGCAAAAAACTAGTACCTTGGAGGTACTAGTTTCCAGAAACCGCGGGGCAAGGGCGGGCGTATGATCGTGTTTCCGGAGGTAGTTCCAGCGCCCGCCCATGTCCCCGAGCTCAAAGGTGTTTTTTTTTCCAAGTCTCCACGATTGCGCACAAGCACCCAACGGAGCATGCGCAAATGTTAGTTTAATAAAAAAAAACACAACTTACGTCGTGCAGAGAAGAGGAGAGCAGCCAGAAGAAAGCACCAACGACCGCATGGCTTGAGGCGAGCGACAGATAGATAGGGGGAAAGGGGGCAAGGCAGAAGATGAAGGCCAGAAGGGGGGGGGGCGCGTGGCAGAGTAGGAGGTCTGCTTGGGGAAGGGGCGGTCAGGGCGGAGGGGGCTGGGCCATGCTGCTTTGCCCTCTTCGCGCGCCCCACCAGCCAGCTCCCCGGACTGTTGCCCTTCCTGACCTACTGCCCACCCCCTGCCTGCCTCACTGGTGGGGAAAACGCCGTGCCCGACACGATGCCACACCACCCAGTCGGCAGCTGGCCCCTCTTCTCCCCAGCGCCGCTTGGCCGGCTGTCTCTGGCAGCCCCCTCCTCGCCTTCCCTCGGCGCGCGGCCCCCGCTTCTGTGCCCCGAGGCCCTGCTTCTTTGCCGTGTGATCCGCACCTCCCCTTAACCACTGGACCTCCACGGAACCTCCACAGGACCTCCACAGGAGGTCTGATCGTGCAACCGTGCTTTAATTTTCCCCGGGGGAAACAGCCATGCTTCCCCCCCGCATTTTCCTGGCCGTGTGACCGCAGCCTATATGTAGTATTTGTGGGTTTTCTTTACAAATATAGAAGTACAGCACAAGTGGAGTCTACTGAGCACTAGACACATCAGATGACCAGAAAGAGAAAGAGATCCTTCACCTGCAAGAGGCTTCAGCCCACTAATAGCTCCATCTGCTTGTTTACTCTCCCCATTTCTTGACAGAATCTAAATTGCCCTTTTCATATCAAGACAACCATCAGCTGGCTGTGTGGGAGTCACCTCTTCCAAGCCCTGCTGGGCACTTTGCCAGAGCCATATTGTGATACTAAGGCCCACTGAAGCCAACACATTGGCAACACATTAATATTCCTTTTGTCATGCAAGTTATACTCATCCTCAGTGAACAGAATCCAAGTGGCAACAGTAGCTGCTACCACATGGGGATTTTCCTCTTGCATGGACAGCAAGAAGCCTTCACAGTAAAAGGGAATAGCCAGGCAATATTGTGCCCAATACGGGCACAACTTCTCTGGCTCCTATTGGGGAAAAGAACAAAAAAAGATCTTGGGCATGTGAACGATTGTTCCCATCTGTTCCTGTACTGCTTGTTGCTGCTGCTACCATGGTGGGGGCATGTTTTGATACTGTTCATGCAGATGCAGCCTGTGACATTCAGTTCTCCTTCAGGTCAGCCTTTAAAATAACCAAAGAACAAGGCAGTTCAGAAGAAGAAGAGCTGATTTTTATACCCCACTTTTCTCTACCTCAAGGAGTCTCAAAGCAGCTTACAATCACCTTCCCTTCCTCTTCCCACAACAGTCACTTTGTGAGGTAGGTGGGGCTGAGAGAGTTCTGAGAGAACTGTGACTGGCCCAAGCGGAAGCGGTGGCGCATGGCATTAAAAAGCCTGCAGGTTAATCTAGTCGAACTGCCAACGGCACTTCGAGTCCCACCGTGGCCAGGGTGAGCTCCCAGCCCTTTGTCCCAGCTCCTGCCCACCCAGCGGTCCGAAAGCCTGTATGGGCAAGTAGGTAAATGGGTACCTGCTCCTTACGAGTGGGGGGCACCTTTCCTCCGTGATCGGTGTTAAAAGCAGCAGCAATGGTGTTGATGACGGTAAGGCGAAGATGGCAGCGAGTGGCAAGCCCGAGTACAGAGACCAGTGCCTGGAGAGCATGACGTGCAACGAAGACTGTAGCCGATTGGACAAAGAGTCGAGCTGCCTTGTTCGTGTTCTGTGGGGGCCATCTGCTGGGGGGGGGGAAGCCGCTACTGCAGAGAATCCATACTTCAACACTGGACATCTGCGCCCTTGATGGGAAAAAGAACCACCATCGAATCCACCGCCGAATCCAAGAAAGATCCTGCTGTTAGGTGCCTAGTTAGGAAAAATACCCTCCCCTTACCATAGTACTCCTAGCTTAGATAAAAATTGTGTCTGTAAACCGCTCTGAGCCTCATGGATAGGGCGGTATATAAATCGCAAATGTAATGTAATGTAATGGAAAAGGTCACCCAGCAGGCTTCATGTAGAGGAGTGGGGAGTCAAACCCGGCTCTCCAGACTAGAGTCCGCTGCTCCTAACCACTATACCATGCTGGTTCTTGTATCCAAACATTAAAAAAAAATCTGATGTAGGTTGACCTCAGAACCTAAACATCATAGAAACTTTTTGTTTTTGTTGTTCAGTCGCACAATCGCGTCCAACTCCTGTGTGGGAGGAGTCATTTTGTTATACCTGTACAGGGAGAGGATCCTCGGAAAAATGGCCTTAAGAAGTTTGGATACTAGATGTAATGATTTAGAAAAAAAGATTAAAACTTAAAACACTTGACAGGCACAGTAGTATAGGAAATGGCAAGGTGAAACTATTAGGAAGATGGAGAGAACCATAATGGATTTGTATCAAGCCCTCCGAAGATCATTTATTTATTTGGGCTTATATTCTGCCCTCCCTGCAAGTGGGCTCAGGGCGGATCACAACAGCAGTGTACAAAGTCATTAAAACAATCGTAGGTCCCGGTCACACAGGCAGGAAAATACGGGGGGGGGGGGAAACGTGGCTTTTAGCCCCGGGGCTAAAAACCGCGCGGTTGCTTGATCAAACCTACCGATCGAGGTCCTGTGGAGGTCCCATGGTAGGGGGGAGGTGCCGATCACTCCACTGTCCTGTGGGGCGCGGGGCAAATGGGTTGGTTGTCTTTTTATTTAAACTCAAATGTGCGCATGCTCCCTTGGGTGCGTGTGCGCATCCGTGGAGACTTTGAAAAAAAAATTTCCCGAGGGGACATGGGCAGGCGCTGGAACTACCTCCGGAAATGCGATCAGACGCCCGCCCTTGCCCCGCGGTTTCAGGAAACTAGTACCTCCGAGGTACTAGTTTTTTACTGCGCGTCTTCGGTGGGAAGCCTCCGTTGCGCCACGGGAGCCCGACGCTTCCCAGATGTGCCGGTGAGATCATGCCCGGAAACTCCGCCTATCTTCCGTCCCTCTAGCGTGCCTAATGCTCCGTGTGACCGCAGCCATAGTAATTCAATAGTTAAAATAATTAAACCAGAGGTGCAATAATGGAAGACAGGTAGCACTGTAAATGTAAAGGTGTAATCTCAAATGACTGAAGCAGCTAGGCGGTAACCCCCAAAATATGGGGATCTTCTTAGTCTGGGTTGTACAGAGATGGAAAACGTCAGCAAGGGAGGCCGGATAATTGGGCACCTGCCACCTCAGCTTTGTAGGTTTCTTATCTGAAAGCAGTTGATTAGCCCAAATTCTCATTATCATTTTAGCTTCTAGATCAGGTGGCTCTCCCCACTGTGTTATCTTAAGGCACAATGCATATGCTTTCCTTGCATTTTAAAATGAAGTCTCTGTAGAATATAGGATATTATAATAGCACATAAGATTTCCTCACATTTAAAGGGAACAAAAAAAAAAATCTTATCTACACCTCTGGATTTCAGGAAAAGTGGCTCACCCCCTTTTTGCCATACTCTGCTTTAAATGTTTATCTAAGCAACAGTAATATCAAACTAGATAAACAATATCAAACTAGATACACAACTTAAAAATAATGCAAGCAACACCATAGTTTTCTTTCTATTGAGCTAAACTTCAATAGAAGAATTACATCAACAATACTTAGTGGTTTCTGTTATTGTAACTGAGATGAGTCTGTACACAGGTGTTATAGTATTTATATCATTGTGTTGCTAAAAGTCGTGTCCATTGACTTTCCTAATTTGTGCCAGATTTGGCATATTTGGTCACTATAATCTGTGATTAACCTATTGAAATAAAAAATTTAAATTTGCAAAAGAAAGAAAATAATCCATTGTTGAGAGGAGATCTGATTTAAAAATCAGTGAATGATTTTAACCTTTGTTAACCCCCCAGCCTCTTGGACTAACTTGAAGAGTCTGAGTCCAGTTAGCACCTTAAAGACTAACAAAAGTTGTGGTACAGTATGAGCTTTTGTGAGTCACGGAAGATATCTGAAGAAGTGAGCAGAGACTCACAAATGCTCATACCCTACCACAAATTTTGTTAGTCTTTAAGGTGCTCCTGGACTCTCACTCTTTTCTACTGCTACACGGCTACCCATCTTGAAAAGTCTGATCAATGACCTCCCTCCCAGTGGGCAGTCTTCCCAGGCTATCTTTCTCTCCTCTCCTTGGTGTGTTGCTTTAAGAGCAGGTGGCCTGGAGTGAATAACTGTCAAAGATACTTCCCAGTGCTTCTCCACCCTCATTGCAAGCTCCAGTCTAAATATACACACATTAGTTGTCGTTACTCTATATCTGCCAAATAAAACTCCTCTCAGAGTAACTCTCTCCTCTCAGGTCAAGGCAAACTGCTCCTCTATGCGTTCTTGCTGATCAAACTGGCTGATTGGATGTAAGAAATTAACCAGGTAAGAGCTGAGATTTGGTCAGATGTGATTTCTAGCAGGGCGGAGGGCACAGTGGGGGCTGAAAGTAAACAGTCAAACCGGATTTGTGGGACGGGGACTGTTAAGTTTGGAATAATATACAAGCACAAGGAGAAGTGGCAATTAATGAGCTGTGAGACAACTCAATTGCAAAGGTCTCCAGAAAATAGTACCAGGAACATCTATAAATGCAGCAAGAGGTTACAGCGAGGAAAACTTCCTGGATGTACTTCCTGGAACAAAGGAGTGAATATACCAACTAACTAAAACGAGGAAAGAACCACTAAAATTCTCATTGAGGATTTTAATATTTTTGCTGCTTAATCTAATACCAGTGCCTACAAGCCCATTTTAGGCCAGACCTCATAGAACATGGAGGAGTGGAGAAGGGAAAGCGAGGAAACAAAGATTCTCCTTCCAATGTTCATGCTTGTATTTTTGCAAATAACACTCATGATAGAGAGGGAGAGCTACAACACAAACCATGCTGTTTTATTCTCATACATGAAGGGCGGTCTGTAATTCCATAATTCTATGTAAGCACAAGGAAGTACAGTATTTTGTATTAAGTGAGGAATTCTGTATAGTCCTAAGAAGTTCAGATTTCAGTTTCTGAAACAAGGCCATGAAACTGAGCTTGAAAGTGGAACGTCTGCTGCTCCAAGGGTAAATACACATAGCTTTTTGTTTGGGAGTTGGAGCTCTTGGCAGAACCGGCCCTGTTTATCCCAGAAGATTATTTATTGGTGATTATAATATCAGGAAACTCACAATGGTTGACACCCATTATACTTGTGTCTAGGAAGCAAAGTTTATAGCTAGAATTAGAGATTTGGAGGTGTCAGGAACAGAGCTGCTTTATGCATAAACTAAGTAAACTAATGTTTAGTGTTTCTGGTTGTGAAGTGCCTCTAAATTTAAAATATCCCCCAAAAGGCTAAATTGCTATTTTTTTGGTAATTCTATGGGGCTTCTTAAATTTGACATAGTTCAGGATCCATGATCACACACTTGTCTGAAGCAATTACTAAGGACTGATTTCATTTTAAATCTTTTAACTGAGATAAAATATTTCTTATTTAAAGCACAAGGTCTGTTTCCTTTTCTTCTGTTTTCTGACTAGGATTGGGGAGAAGTTTCTTGTTCATCTAAGGTATTCAAGACCATTTCTTACAAAAGGAGTGGAGCTTTGTAGAGAACAACACCATGGTGAGGAATGTTGATGACTTTGATTTTAGTCTTCCATCCCATCCTCAGTTCATTCTGGAAGGATTACAAGCCCTGCGCTCCAACCCCAAGCTCTCAGATGTCACCTTAATAGTTGGGGGACATGAATTCCCTTGCCACCGCAGCATCCTGGCCCTCTGCAGTCACTACTTCAAGGCTATGTTTGCTGGTGACTTTCTGGAAAGCTTTTCAGCCCGTGTAGAGATAAAAGAAGTGGATCCTGTTGTTATGGAGTCTTTGATTGACTTTGCTTACACTGGAAAAGTAACTATCAACCAGGGGAATGTAGAGGCCTTAATTCAGGCATCCAACCAGCTTAATTTCCCTGTTATCCGGAAAGTCTGCAGCCGGTACCTGAGGCAACAGATGGATGCAACCAACTGCTTGGGTATTTGTGAGTTTGGGGAAATGCATGGCTGCCCAGAAGTGTCATCCAAGGCTTGGTCATTTCTGCAGGAGAATTTTGAGCTTGTGTCTCAGCAGGAAGAGTTCCTTCAGTTATCCAAAGAGAGGCTGGTTACTTACCTGTCTAACAACCTACTCCAGGTACAAGAAGAGCAGAGCCTGGTTGAGGCCGTGCTTCGGTGGGTAAAGTATGAAAAATCTGCCAGAGCCATGCACCTTCCAGAGCTCCTCGACCTGGTACATCTAGTCACATTGCCAGATCAGTATCTGCAGAACCTCTTGTCATCAGAACCATTGATTCAAGAATCGGATGCTTGCAAGACCATTATCACCAAACATCGCAGCACGGTCAGTGCTTAGAGGTACCACAGTAGCCTTCTCTTGCTTTCCCTCCAATCTCTAGGCTAGAAAACTGACTACATGGTTCAATGACTATAGCAGTTCTTCCTCCCATTCTCTCTCACATATGTCTATGGCCCAAGAGTGTAATGGTAACCCAAAATGTTTTAGATAAGCAGCCATTTGCGTGCTTGGCTATTGGTCTGAACGGAGTAGCCCTTGAATCTGTGTAGGCAAAGAAGTGGCATGCCAGCTTTGAGTCCAAGAAAAGTGTTTTTTAAATTAATCATCTGGCCACATTTGGTAGGGTCAGGGATGCACTGTATTTCCATCCCATCCACCCTACCATTTATCCATTACCTCAGGCCAAGTGAGGATGGGGTCAGACCTACGCTTACAAATGTGATCATGCCCAGTTTTCCCTAGCTGAAGAGACTCTGAAATCTAAAAATGAGTTAGCGAATACTTCCCTCCACCCAAAATAGAAGCTGTATTTCTCCTCCCAAATTTGGCGCTTGTTTTATGGGGGAAGTATCAGAAACACACACTGAGCCTCAGGGGTCTTGTTGTAGAAAAAGAGCTGCCGGAGCTCATTAGCATAACTCATTAGCATAACTTATTTGCATATGCCACGCCCCCTGACATCACCGGAAGTGACAGAAGGCCACACCCCCTGACATCACCGGAAGTGTGTCAGAAGGCCCGGCTACTTACCCTCCTGCTTCATCCTCATTCCCAAACGGAATGAGGATCGAAGCAGAGGGCGGGGTAAAGAAGGGGGCGGGGCTTCACCACGTGACCGCCCCGCCCCCTAGAGGTTCTCTTCCGGAGCTCCGTACCTGAGAGCTCCCCCCCGACTAGAGCCCTGCTGAGCCTTGGAGACCATGCTGGAGCTGCCTTCAGGAGAGATATAATCCCCCTCCCCCCAAGGGATCTCTAACAGGGAAAGCCAGGTTATCCAGTGTGAGGAGTGACGGGAATATTTTGCCCCCCTACAATGTTGGTTCCAAATATAGAACTTTATTCCTTGCCATAAGTATGGCTGACAGCCATACACTTATATGGGTGAAGGTATGAACGCATGGTAAGACTAATATCTGATGCTCAGTCAAACAAATGCTTTCCTGATTTGTTTCCCAAACCAGCTGCTTTAAATTCCAATCCGAAGTGGAATATGAGTGATTGAGGGACTTCCTTGTGGGCCATTTTTACCATAAAATATGCCTGCCAGGCTTACCCCCCTCTATGGAGGAGTGGTTTGACCCTCACAAACAGCTGTGTGTGCGGACTGGATCTGTCATCTTCTGCTATGTGTGGAGAGAGGAGTTTTTGGTCTATATTCCATTATATCCCAGACAGCAGCCTATCTACTGTGTTCAAAAGAACTCAGTGGGAGCTTCAGAGAATGAAGTCACCTCTATTTTCACAGCGTAGTCCTGAATTTTATGTTTGGGGGCATGTTGATAACATTGCTTCAAGCAACAGACTTTCTCAACAGGATATTTTAAACATACAGTGGCCCCGTTCACACGGAGCCTTTGCCGCACTAAAGATACGGATGATCGGTGGATTTTCCGGGCGTGATCACACTGCAGCATCTGGGAAGTGTAGTGCACCCGTGGCTAACCTGTGGCTTCGTGCCGAAGATACGGAGTAAAAAATTAGTACTTACAATGTACTAGTTTCCGGAAAACGCAGGGCAAGGGCGGGCGTCTGATCACGTCCCGTCCTAGTCCCGTTGCAAACCGGTTAGTGCTTTTTTAAAGTCTTCACAGGATGCGCACAAATGATCATGTGCATGCTCACCTTTTGGTGAGAAAAGAAATATTCCTGTTTGCCACAGAAGCAGCGCCTGGCGATTGCTGGTGTGATCGCGCCGTGCCGCTTCTTTGCCGCACTACAGGATAGCTGTGTGATTGGCACCTCACACCCTAACCACAGGACCTCGACGGGACATGTGATCGGGCAGCCGTGCATTATTTTGCTCTGGGGCAAACAGCCATGCTCCCCCCCCCCCGCATTTTCCGGCCCGTGTGACCGGGGCCAGTATTAGCTTTGCATTTTAAAAAGTGGCCCATATCTAACCAGATCAGTGCATCTATGTAAAATACAGGTAGAAAGAACCATGTAGCTCCTTGGTGGAAGTTTAGGATAAAAGTGTGTGTGTATTAGAGAGCGAGACAGACAGACAGAGAGAGAGAGAGAGAGAGAGAGAGAGAGAGAGAGAGAGAGAGAGAGAGAGAGAGAAAGAGAGAAGCCAGTGTGCCACTCTAGAGTAGTTTAGACTCCCTATAGGAGCGTTTGGAATTTATACATTACTGAATTGTGTCATACAAGATCAAAGTACTGTATATAAACTGTTGAAGATTAAGGTAGATGAGGAGGACAAGGCTATATGTTCTAAACTTAGTGATATTGTTCTTTCCTCTTTCCGAAGGTGGAGAACAGGCCATTTGTCCAACAGAGACTTCGGGCCCTTCCACAAAAGCTTGAGGAGGTGCTGGTAGTGGTGGGAGGCAGAGCCTTGGAAGAGGATGAAGGAGAGGATGAAGAAGCACACCCACCACCAATCTCCAGGAACTTTGCCTTTTATAACAAAAAGACAAGTAAGCACCTGGCCCAAATAGTGCCAAAAACTGCAGCTTTGTACAAACAGGGAGCTTCCTTTAACTTGGAACATGATTAATTTAAGGAAAACAAGCAGGAGTCATGTGGTACCTTCAAAGCTAACAGATTTTTTATTTCAGTATCAGATTGATAAGGTACACCCTAGTCCTCAAATGCTTATCAATAAAAAATCTGATAGTCTTGAAGCTGTGGCTGGAAGACTCCTGCTTGTTTTTGCTGAAACAGACTGGCACACAGGACTGATTTGCCATCCAAGCAATTGCTTTGGGCTCTTGATTAGCAGTGGGGCGCAATGAGGGAGAAAATGGATAGGTGTGGCTTGGACCCATCATTGTCTTCCAGCCTGCTTGGCTATAATGGGCTGCAGAGAGATCTTGTGCTAGGGTGGCACAGGGTGAGGGAACACACACTCCTCTCCATGTGTGCCACCTGAACTGGTGGAGCACACAGGACCAGGCATGCCCTGCTCATGTTAATACAGGGTTTCCATTTACCCCCTTGTAGCAGGTAAACTCCCACTGTTAGCCCTGATCTCTGGATTTGGAGAGCCTGGGGAGTGGGAGAAAAAATGACTGCCGTGAAAGCAATGCTGTATCAATTTCCCCTTTATCTCTTGGAGCCAGGTGATCACAACAGGAGTGTGGTGGAGGTACAGTAGCTCCTGTGCTGTCCACTGCTTGGGATGGCAAAACAAAATGAGTCAGCATTGCTGACACAGCTGCCCTTAAGCTATGAGGATCAGAACTGTAGTAGAATGACCAATGTACTCTTCTAGCATTTTGAGGTAAGAGGAATAAAATCTACAGCACTCTCTGGAATAAGTTGGCCTTTACAGGGAAGATGCTTACCTCACTGGTGATAACATTCTGTAATGTATTTGAAAGCAACTGTTATCCATTATGTTAGTATCCTTCCATTCTTCTGTTACGCAACTCAAGGCAGTATATGAAGAGACACAAAACCATAAAATGGGGAAACTTGGGAGGGGGCGTGTGACTGCGACCAATGAAAAGAAACTGAATGCAATTTTAAAAATTGTTCTTTAAACTTCAGTTTCATAGTTTTTGAAATTGATGTTGGTGCCAGCAACCTTCTCTACAGGAGAGTTAACATTGGAGGGTTGTTCCAAACAGCTCCTAACTTTATTTCCTTTTATGAACTTCCTCTGAAATCTGTTGTGAAATCTCCTTTACCATCTCCAGAGTTGCCTCGGTGTTAGCAAATTTATTTGATGTGTTGAATGGCCAATTGTGTTTAATCTTCACTTGCTCTATGCCTTATATAGGAAGTGAAAGGGAGTGAAATACAGGTATATAATCTATCATTTAGATCTACAATAACAAAATATCATTTATCATATAAACCCAGCCTGTGAAACAGAGACACTCATGTAGGCAGAAGCAACTGTGCCTTGGACTTCAGCCTAGAATGGTGCAGTCACTGGGAAAGAAGGGATTTCAAGATGATGTAACTGCTCTGTGTCTCTTTGGCATTTGTCACTGCTCAGCAGCTGCATTCCTCCCAGGCTGACATTGACATAGGAAGCTGTTACGCAGGTCTGCAACAGACTACGTTGAAAAAAGTGTTTTCTAGGAAAGGATGGAAACATGAGAGAGACCTGTAGTTTGAGCATAACCTGAGCAATATGATAGCACTGGAGTGAGTTTTGACTACACTGTGAATGTAGTCAAAACCCAGTATCTATAAGTCTCTTCCTCAATGTCCCTAATTTTCTTTTGGGGGTGACTTATTGCTATGGAGTTTAATTGATTTATTACTTCTTGATTTTTTAGCCCCTGGCCTGCAGCAACTTGAAACCTGATTCTTTTTTGCCTGTCAGGAGATTCACCTTCTTTGGCATGACAGTCTTCAAATCATGACCGGAAACATTTACTTCCCCCTTCTATTTTATTTTGTAATACCCAGCCTGATGAAGAGTTCTGGTGAACTCAAAAGTGTGCATGCTTATGTGTTATTGGATTGGTCCTAATAAAACGTAGTATATTCTCCCAGGAAGAATATAAAGTCTACTGGTTTTAACTATTTGATGGCCTCTTACACTTGCTTTTCTCATTTTAGAGGAATGGCTTGCTCTTCCTGATTTTCCAGATTACAATAAATGGGGATTTTCTATGATTGCACTAAACAACAATGTTTATGTCACAGGTAAGTGGTTCTCTCTCTCTCTTTTTTTAACGTAGATCTCCCATGCTTTGATATTCTGATGGGCCTGTGGGGGTAATTTGTTTCCCCATTTTTCAGATATTAAAAAGAGAAATTAAATTATGTTGATAGAAAATGTTTTAACTATTATTGTAAGATGCCTTGAATCACAAAGAAAGGTGGGATATTAATGTTTTAATAAAATAAATAAACAATTTAACTTATAATTTTGCAAATGCTAGAAAGGTTGCAAAAACCTAGGAGCCCTCGGCAAAATATCATGAAGGTGAGTAGGTCTGAATTCTATGTTTTAACTTGGTATAAAGAAAAACTCTCTATTTGTGATGGATATTTCTGTTTTCAGGTGGCTCCAGGGGTTCACAGAATGATACATGGTCCACAACCCAGTCATGGTGCTTCTGCTTCAAGAAAGGTGCCTGGAAGCCTATTGCTCCAATGCTAAAGCCTCGAACAAACCATGCTACTGCTGTCCTCAATGGCGAGATCTATGCCATTGGTGGTAAGGAATGGGATCTGCCAGCATCACTCTTTAGGCATGGCATCAGCAGCACGAGTGAACATTCACCTGGTCCATACAAAATGCACCACCTCCATTTTCCATTAAAGGCTTCTCCATAGATCAGAAGTGGCAGGAGCCAGGAGGCACCTGGGGATATGTGGGCTATCTCCAGGCCTGTAGCTACAGTGGGGCATTTCAGGGCTACGCCCCCTCATTAATGAGCACCACTCCACCCATAGCTCCTCCTGTCAAGCAGCTCCCTCTGCCTCAGCTCTCAGATCCCCCTTTTAAACGCTGCTCAATCCATGAGCGGCAAGCCTGCCCACAGCCTGTAGATGAGAAAATCCTTGTCAGTCCCCTGCTTGTACCAATACAATTTTTTATGTCAGTTACTGATTTTAAAAAGAAAAAAACTCAGAGAAATCCCCCCGCCCCACAGTCGTATGTGGAGGAATGGCTGCCATGGGGACTGGGGCAGGGAAAACATGAGGAAACCCACCATGTGGAGGCCCCATTGCAGCTGCACTGTGCTGGCAGTCACAGCAACAGAGGGGAAACTCCAGAGTGCTAGTGCCATGTGGAACAGACCATTGACTTACGGGCTAAATGAACACCCATGTTGCTCGGTGCATGTGCTTAGTTCCACAGCTGTCTGCTTTACCAAGACAGACTCTTATTCTCTTTTTTAATCTCCCATTTGACCTATAGGTACCACTGTGGACATTGTGGAGGTGGAGTGCTATGATCCATATAATGACAGCTGGTGTTTTGTCAGCCCTGCCTTGAAGTATGTCAGCAACTTTTCCATAGCCGGGTGTCTTGGGAAGCTGTACCTTATAGGCTCTTGCGCTGTCAAATACAATGCATTAACTCTGCAGTGTTACAACCCAGCTACAGGTAAGAAGGAAGAGACAAGGCCTTGCCCGATGAAAGGCTTGTGGTAAAGTAATCAGGTCTGGGCTCACTAAGCTGCTGTGCAAAGGGGCAGTCCTTGTTGTGGAAAGCTGAAATGGGTCCCTCGAGGAAGCAGCAGATGTTCAGATGGCTGGTAGTGGTGGAGCTCACTTGTAGGGGGATGTATAGGTGCATGAGAGTGGGGAAGGGGAGGCCATGGAAGATTTTTCAAGGCAAGGATGAGTTGCTGTGGCTCCAGCCATTGAGAAGCAAGCCACTGAGAACCACTGCTTCTGTTTACAAGAAAGCCCCATCCTTGGGTTTGTATCTTGGCCAAATTGAAGTGTCATGGATGGAATGCTGGGAACCAGCTTTTAGATATGAATCACAGGACTTGCTCTGGTTTGCCTGTGACCTGCTTTGCATGTTTAGACCCTGTTGTATTGGTATGGCTTTTAATTTTATTTGTGATGCGTAAAGAGTAAAAATTATGAGGTGGAGGGAGAAGGAGTTTATGGTGTGCGACTTCCTGCACTGGCACACAGCCCAGAGGCTTCTTCTAGTTAGCATTACAAATGGTTTGCCTATTTCTATAGAAGCCACAGACTATCACCTTCCTTATTTTAGCTCTCAGGGTTGCTCAAAATGTTTGTTTACCCAGTTGCCTATACCTACACATCAACATGATGTCACCATGTAATGACAAAGCTTTTCATTTGAGAAACTCTCAGCTACTGTCAAATTGCTCCTTGTAGTCAGTGAAGGTTGCATGTGAATCATGTTCGGACTGTCTGAGAAACCTTGGATGGCAGTCATGGGATAGCTGGATGCCATTGACTAAACTGCAGCACTCTGTTTTCATCTCGTGTGATGCTGTATTGGAGGAACTGTATTCATCAGTATACCATGTAGGACACACACACATCTCACTGTGGTACATTCCATGACTGATCATACTCCAGGACTTCCTTCATTTCTGGCTCTTTACATTTAACTTTCACAAAGTGCCTCTTTAAACCTGTTAGCTACCGGGCATCTGCCCATTCTTGTTTCTGTTGCTATGAATGGAAAATACTGAATTACAGTCAGGGATATGTCATCTGCTTGTCTCATTGATTTCTGATGTGACATAGGAAAAAGGGTATGATGCAACAGAATGCCAGCAGTAGCTACCTGCATGGGGAACTTATAGCTCATGTCCTGGCTCTTTGCCAGAGCAACTTCTGGCCTGGTATCCTTTGAAAATGCTGGATTCCAGCTGCAGATAGCAGCTAGCATGCAATGTGGTGATCATGTTTATAAAATCATTCATGGAGTGGAGAAAGGGGATAGAGAGAACTCCCCCCCCCCTTTTATAAGACAGGAACTCAGGGGACACTGGTGGGCAAAAGAAAGTACTACTTGACTCAACAGTAATTACCATCACTGGACATAGATGCAAGGAGCATAAAGGTAAAGGTTGCCCTTGCTCGAAAGCCAGTCGAGTCCAATTCTAAGGTTGCGGTGCTCATCTCCGATTCAAAGCCGAAGAGCCAGCGCTGTCCAAAGACGTTTCCGTGGTCATGTGGCCGGCAGATGGCTTTAAAAGGAGATTAGATGGATTCCTGGAGGATAGTTGCGTCAGTGACCACTAGCCTGGTGACTAAAGGTAATCTCTAAATTCAGAGGCAAAGAACCTCTGAATCCCAGTGCTAGGAGGCAGCATCAGGAGGAGACTAGTCTTTAAGGAGCCCCATTGGACTCCTGTTATATTTTGTTGCTACAGACTAACACAGCTAGGCATCTGGAACTACCTTCAAGCAACTGTGATTGAAACACCCTTCTAAACCAACACAAATCCTTCTCCATTTCCTATGAAATTATTCTGCCATTCTAATTAGAAATCTTTTTAATACTAGGAAAAAGGCCCGTTATGGAAATAAATACAACGGCCTCTAGAAAGAGGCTCTGGGTGGGTGCCCCGGCCTTGGACACTCAGTGTCAATTTGCTGTGGCAACCTCAGCAGGGTATAATGACACTGAGTCCACCATTTTCTCCAGAGGAACTGATCTCTGCTACCTAAAGAACAGTTGTGATCTCCAGTCCTCACCTGGAGATTGTCAACGATAGTTCCCCAGAAGGGACTGGTTGGTTTAGAGGGTGGAGTCTATGGCTTTGTACCTGTCCGAGGTCCCACCCCTCCTGAAACCTCACCCTCTCCAGGCTCCATCCCTCACATCTCCAGGAATTTCCCACCTGGAGTTGGCAACCCTATCTCCTGCCCAGCCAATCATCAACCTACCTTTATTTCCCCCTCACTCTTCAGCTTTCCACCCCACACACACCTGCAGCCTCTCCCGTGCTCTGAAGCCCTGACTTCTACGTCACATTGACTGTCATACGGGGGCCACCTCAGCAGCATATAAGGATACAGAGCTCACCATTTTCTCCAGGGGAACTGATCTCTGCCATCTGGAAAGCAGTTGTAATTCTGAGTGATCTCCAGCACTCACCTGGAGATTTGACACATTTTACCTCAGAAGAGCAAACTGTTTAGAATGTTAGAGGCAAAAGCCAATCAAGTCGCATATGCAAATAACCTCTGTGTTCTGACTGGCTGTGGGGGGGGGGAGAGGATTAGCAAAATGTTTAGAATGTTGGAGGCATTCCTGCTTCAGGAGGCTGAGGCTTTTCATGAAAACAATGGACTTTTTTTTACAGATGTCTGGAGTGTCATTGCCTCTCCTTTTATCCCCAAATACCTCTCTGCTCCCCGATGTGTCTCATTGCATGGTGTCATCTATCTTATCGGAGACAACACAAAGAAAGTCTATGTGTATGATCCAGATGCTAACATATGGCAGAAGGTAGGCATGAGTGGGCAAGCTAGAAATGATTTTTACCCAAAACAGAGGAATGGAGGATCAGGCAGGGGTTCAAATAACCAGCAAGCCATGAAACTCACTGGATGGCCTTAAGACACTCACGTTATCTCAGCTTAACACTTCTTCATGGGCCTGTTGTCAGGAGAAACCTGTATATTTTAAACAATTTCATTTTGCTTCTCCATAGCTTGAGGTGCCTTGCATAAAAATAAAAGCAAGTACTTCAATATACTAAAAGAGTAAATACTAAAGCAAATTAACAGTTGAGTACAAAATGATGAAACCAGAGTTAAAATTGGGGTGGGTGGGATGATCATGTACATTTGCCCTGAGTTCTTTGGTTAAAAGGCAGCATAAACCTGCGATCAAACACACAACGTTAACTTTACAATGAAAAAGTTAAAAATAAAACTGAGGTCATGCTGCCCTGATGTGATATGTGTGGGTGTGACTGGTCACATTTCTCTGTTGTATGACTAAAAAGGGGGCTTCTTCCCCCTCAAAATCCACAAACAAAATTAATTTTTCCAAGTATGTGGTGAGAGACCACAGTACAGGGAAAATTATTTCACAGCTGTGTGGCCTGAGCTTAAAAGCCTCATATCTCCCTTTTCTACTATACTTTCAAAGAACTGTAACAAAATGTAAAATATGAGCAATGTCTTTGTTCACAGGAATAGTCTTTAGTCACCAAAGCAATCTTTATGGTCTTTGAGGCACAGACCCAGGGATCATGTCCCAGAATGGCATGGGGCCCACCCCATCATGAGGGTATCCCAGACAGCAGCACAACACAGCTCTGCTCCTCTGGCCCTTTTGGCTTTAGCAACAATGTGTGTAATGTTGTTGGAGGGTTGGGTTACGCAGCATCATTCTCAAATCTCGCTGCAGCTGTTCCCATGGCGTCAGTGCTCAGCTGACTGTGTAGCACCCACTCCAGTCCTCAGGACAGGTGCAGAGTGAGTCCTGCCAGTATCTCCATCTCCGTAGATTTATGACTCATGGTCAGTGTGCAGTCACTATCCAGCCATCCATTGGACACGCTTTCGCTGGTGGCCTCTAATGCTTTCATTATAACTTCTAATTATCAAATGCTTTCTCTGCAGGCAAGGGTTTGTTCGTTTGTTTGTTTTGGAGGGAGAGATGCCTGGAGAGGGGATTGTCTCCAGTTGGAGAGTAGGTGTAGCTCAATGATACAGCACATGCCTTGCATGCAGAAAGTTTGAGGTTTGGTCCCTGGCAGATGGTGGGATGGTGGGAAAGTTTTCTGCACCTGAGACCCTGGACAGCCATGAGCTAGATGGATCTTCAGGTTCATAAGAGCCCTTTCAACCCAAATCCACCCACTGGTATTTCCACTGTATTTTCTAGGAGAGGTAATAGGGACTATACAAGGCCCTGTAAATGTTACTATACATTATGCTAAGCCGATAGGTATATAAAGGAGGGACCTTGCCTTTTGGTTCTTGGGGCTATACCAGTGGAGGGCAGTCTTTTTAAAAAGGCTAAAGTATGTTTTCCTCTAATGTGCATTGAATTAATGCTTTGAGATGAGTTTACCTTTAGTCCACTGAGCTGGGGGAAAGGCAGCATTGTAGTTATAGAAAAGCAACCTGGGGTGCCAAGTGAGGTTGCTTCAGTGCCACCTGCCCCTATCCAGGTACATTGCAGATGGCTGCTGGTGGTACATGCAACTGACCCATAGGCAAATGAGGGCTACACTATAGCTAGGCTTGAGTGCCCCTAGCATTTGAGAATAGGGTTTATGAAAGTGGCAGCTTAGCCTACAAGCATTTCTTTCCAATTTGCTAGGCTAAGGTCCCGGTCACACGAGTGGGTTACTGTGCCGCTGAAGGGAGGCAAATTAGAGCAGGAGCAAAAAGAACTGCAGTAGTGCGATCCGAAACCCCCCGTGGCTCCATGCTCCAGCCTTCAGCAGGCAATCAGACGTAGCGCAGCAAAACGGACGTTGCACGTTTGTGTGCATGTGTGGGACAGGGAACGGCGCTGGCTGCGATGGGCTACCAGCGCTGTCTTTTATTTATTATTATTTATTTATACCCCACTTTTCTTCCCAATGCAGATCCAAAGTGGCATATAATATTCTCCCCTACATCATTTTATACGCACGACATTCCTGTTAGGTAGATTAGGCTGAGATTGTGTGACTGGTCCGATGTCGCCCAGCAAACTTCCAGAATAGAGTGCGGATCCAAGCCCCCCAGATCCTACTTCGACATTCTAATGGCTCTCACGATAATCAAGATAGTAACTAGTATAATATACACACTCTGCTCATTGCCATCGCAAAGGCTCTCTCTTCCAATCTGAGATTGGTTCAAGGGCATGGGAAAACACTCACACCACTCTATTTTATCACATATATGGCCCTGTAGCTTGTTCTGTGCTAGAATGGTGGCTGCCAGTGTGAGTAGATTTCACATCCCATGTAGCAAGAAAGACAAGTTTAAAAACCAATTTTCAGACATCTTAAACAGAGTATCAAGAACCAGATGTGTATCAAATCAAGCTTTCGGTCTCTTATGGAAGAACCCTTACAATCTCATATTCCTGTCAACGAGTTAGTTAGTTAGTCGGGTGGGGACCAAAGTGCTTGATGATAGTTTCATCTTTCCACCTCTAGATGGCAGCATCTAGTTTTTACAGCCATCATTTGAGAGCCCACCCACTAAACAGGTGAAAACTACTGTAATCCAAGTACCCAAATGTGAACGATTAATTAATTAAATAAGATATTTGTATTCCACCTTTTCTTGTGGCTCAAGACAACATATTATTAATAATATAAAACCTCACATAACCTCCTCACCCTACGAGATACCTGCAGTTTATACTCCATTAAAAGCCCAGGCTAATAAAATAGCCTTGCAGAGCTTCCTAAAAATGTCTAAAGACAGTGTCCCCCTTACCTCCTCAGGCAGTCCATTCATAAAGCAGGAGCTACAACAGAGAAGGTTTGGCTACCTTAAATGGGGCTAGTAGATGGCAATCTGAGGACCATAGTTGGCAAACGGGAATATGCAACTAGGGGAGCTGCAAGGACTTGCAGGGGGCATCTGATTTCCCCTTCCCACTATTTCTTCTTTCCCTCCCCTGAAAGCTCCTTTATCCCCTGTCCTTTTCCTGCTTCCTTGTGTCCTTCCCATCCACCAGCCAACCTACCCTTATCTGCCCTCCTGTCTTCAGCTTTCCCTCCCTCTTAGGCTTGCCAAGTCCCCCCGGGGGGCAGGGAAACCCCCGCCCCAGAGGCCCGTTCCCCGCCGCCGCCGGATTGGGCCCCAGGGGGAGCCCCACCCCGACGTACGCGTCACCCGGAAGTGACGTGACCACGCCGGACATGCTTGGGGCGGGGCCACGGTCATCTGAGGGAAAACTCTATGGTTTTCCCTCGGATGGTCGTGGCCCCGCCCCCAGCAGGCCCGGCATCGTCACATCACTTCCGGGTGACGTGCGTGCGTGCTCCAGACACCATCCGGGAGTCCCCCGCTGTGGCGCAACATCCGACTTGGCAACCCTACTCCCTCTAGCAGCCTCTGCCTGGGAAAGCTATGGCCCAGTTGCATGGTGCCTGCTGCCAGGGTGGGCACACTTGAGTTCTGGTGAACCTGTGAGGACTTATGGGAGGCACCTCACCCCTGTATCCACTTCCCACGCTGTTTCCTCTTTTCTTCTTCATGGCAACTCCCATATCTCCACATTTCCTATTTCTTTCTCTCCTTCCCACCCATCAGCTATCCTACCATTATCTGCCCCTCATCTTCAGCTATATTTATTATTTACTTCACTTATACCTTGCCACTACCTCTTTTCCATGCAATGAGGACCCAAAGCAGCTTACATTATTCTCCTCCATTTTATCCTCACAACAACCCTTTGAGGCTGAAAATGTATGATTGGCTAAAGGTCACTCACTGAGCACCACGGCAGAATGGGGATTTGAATCTGGTCTGAAACGCTAACCACTACATCAGACTAGTTTTCATGGAGTGGCTGCTGTTGAAGAGTAGTGAGAAGCTGGGCCTGGGTGAGTCACAGGGATGCACAGGGATGAGTCACAGGGATTCCCCAAACAGGGAAGAACGCTGAAATTAAATGTGACATGCCTATGTGACCTGGAAGTGACATAGGCACATCGGGGACATCAGGGGACGACGCTCTGGTTTTTGGGCAAAGCTCTATGGTAAAAGCTAATTCTACCATACAATTTTGCTGAAAAACCAGAGCGTCACCCCCCAACACCCCTGACACTTCCGGGTCATGTAGGCACGTCACATTTATTTTTGGCGTTCCTCCCTGCTCCCAATAAGTTCACACACACACACACACCAATCCCCTGCTGGCAAATCCACGGGACTTGGCAACCCTAGTGAGTCATGGAATTCGCATGGTATTGAGTCAAGTCATCCACAGATTGTGCTGGGCCTGACATTGATGAATATTCCCTCAAAGGCCAAAACAGCCCTGGAAAAGGTCTTGCCCCCTTCCCCTTACTTTTCCTGACAGAAAAAGGCTTCAGTTGGTAAATAATGTTGTGGCTGCGTAAGAACAGCCACAGAGGCCATTTGTTTCTTAAAGCTAAAGGTGCTGCTTCTGTTATTTGGGGAGGGTTAACCTCCCAGTGTTTTGAGTGTTTTTTTTAAAGGTTCACATTTTCCTGCAAACCTGGGGCTTTTCTCAGGTTTGTGGAAAGGTCTTTCTTGTCTATCCATGTCCCCAGTCTTCAGATTTAAGTATCCACAGATTTAGCCATATTAAGAATTAGATATGTTGATGCAAGGAAATGGTCCTTTAGATATATGGGTTTGAGACTATGAAGGGCTTTAAAGATCATAATGAGTACCTTGAGACTAGGAAACAAATTGGCAGCCAATGTAGCTGTTTTTAAGATAGCCAAGTTATGTTCCCATTGGCAGTAAGTGGCCTGCTGCATCCTGAACCAGCTGACGTTTCTGAGTTGTCTTCAAGGGCAGCCCAGTATGGAGTGTATGACAGTAGTCTAACCATGAGGTTACAAAAGCTTGGATCAGTGTGGCCAGATCAGCTGAATCTAAGAAGGGTGAGAGTTGGCAAACTGAATGCAGATGGTAGAAAGTACACTTGATTGTGTCACATCTTTGTTGGCAGGTGCAACAGCTCCACACCCTGCACGAAAATGGAGGGATGGTGTCTCTTGGAAGTAAACTGTTTGTTACAGGTGGACACTGGAAGGGCATGGATGGTGACTATCAGGTGGAGATGGAATGTTATGACTGTGCCAAGGATATCTGGACAAGGGAAGGCTCCCTCCCATGCTTATGGCTCTACCACACTACCTCTTCTATCTTCATGGACACTTCAAAGTGGAGAGAACCGTTCTTGGGAAACCAAGTGTGACATGGAATATGGGACAAGGCCTCAGAGCTCAGCTGCTCCTATGAAAAGGAGCAGAATATTTTCTAGTATCACATTTTTACACTTTCTTTTACATTCACCTTCTTGCTTGGACTTTATTTTCCTACTACATCTTTTTCTGGGATGAACCAATTTGACCATAAAGGTAAAGGTAAAGGTTCCCTTGCTTGAAAGCCAGTCGAATCCGACTCTAGGGTTGCGGTGCTCATCTCCGTTTTCAAGCCAAAGAGCCAGCGCTGTCCGAAGACGTTTCCGTGGTCATTTGGCCGGCATGACTAAACCCCAAGGCGCACGGAACGCTGTTACCTTCCCACCAAAGTGGTACCTATTTATCTACTTGCAATTTCTTGCTTTTGAACTGCTAGGTTGGCAGGAGCTGGAACTAGAGACGGGAGCTCACTCCATCATGCGGCACCCGGGTCTCGAACTGCTGAACTACGGACCTTCCACAGCCTGCAGTTCAGCGTCTTAACCACTTGAGCCACCACAGCTCCATAAATTAGGATAAATAATGCTAGTCATAGCTGCTGCATTTAAAAAACAAGCAGTGATTGGATATGAAGATTTATAAAGCTGGTGAGGGGGGGAGGTTGGAGTGGAGTTAAAATAATAACCCTACAATAGTTTATGGTCAAAACAAAAGTTTTGTATTAACATTAGATTACTAAAGGTAAAGCAATAGAAAACAACACTACCACTGCTGCATGTCATTTGCAGCCATTGTCTTCATGCAAGAGACACCAGCAGTGAAATGTGTGAAGCTCTAGAAACTTCTTCAGTTTCTAAAATTGCACAGTGCACCTTCCAAAAAATTGCTACAGCTAAAATAGGCGAGCTTTCAGTATGAACATGGTGCTTATTGTGAAAATGATGCTCAGGTAGATGAGTTCCATGGACAAAGTGAAGTGTACTTAAGCACACTGATATCAAGGGGGTTGAGAATGATTAATTCTGTGTCAAATGATGGCCGGTGCCTGAAAACAGCCAAGAATAACATGAGCCAGCCCTAAGTCAAAACTAGAAATTATGAGGTGCCAATTGGAGGTCACGCTAAGTAATGGGTAACATTTGTGATCCATTAGTTGTTGTAGTTTCTCCGGGCTGTATGGCCGTGGTCTTGGCATTGTAGTACCTGACATTTTGCCAGCAGCTGTGACTGGCATCCTCAGAGGTATAATACAGAAAGATGAAGTAGTCTCTGTGTCAATGTGAGAAGAAAAATGGTAGGCAGGTAATTTATATCTACTCAGGAAGGTGGGGTAGGGCTGAGTCATTATCTTGTAGGAGTCCCCAGGCTGTGACATGCTAATGGAGATTTCCTGAGGAGGTTCTTTTGCATATGGGTTGGCTGTTGAAATTCTAATTTTATCTGTAGTGCTGTTGTGAGATGTAGATCATTTTGTGTTTGTCAGGACTGGAAACCATGCCCTATTTATTTTTAAATTCCCTTCCTTTTGAAATTGTGTTTATTTTTATGAATTTCAATGGCTTCCCTGTGTAATCTGACATGGTAATTGGATGTATTGTCTAGCATTTCAGTGTCTTGGAATAAGCCTAACTCAAACAGGAAGAGAGTTTACCCCACCTTCCTGAGTAGATATAAATTACCTGCCTACCATTTTTCTTCTCACATTGACACAGAGAGTACCCCATCTTTCTGTGTTATACCTCTGAGGATGCCAGTCACAGCTACTGGCAAAACGTCAGATACTACAATGTCAAGACCATGTCCATACAGCCCAGAAAATTTACAGCAACTAATAAACTCCGGCTGTGAAAGCCTTCAACAACATATTAGTGATTCAGTTTGAAATTCCTGTTTGTATACCTATTTTTATGGTGCTCAGAATATTTCTGTTCGTCATGAAGCATTTTTTTGCTTGGGTTAATTATCTTGCATATTAAATTGCAATAAATCTGGCTTTGAAATGCAGACTGACATTTTTCATATCCTTCTTCCTGTTGGTCACCATAACTAGGCACGATAATTGAAAAATCTAAGAATAGTCCCATCTTTCTATAATAAATTATATAATGATTTTAATTGCAGTTGGTGTTTGCTCAAATAATTGTATTTTCTTTTCAGTGCTGAAACTGTACTCCCTTTCCATCTCATAAGTAACAGTGAATCAACTTTATTAGTTTCAAACAGGAACAGTGAAGAACACACAACACAACAAACAGTGGAGCAGGGCTCCTTTTAAACTATCCCGGGCTAGTGTAGCCACGCCCTAGAAGAGTTAAAAACCAGTGGCGTTACAAAGATAACATCCAATCAGATCAGTTCCCTCCTAAACATTTCTCTGCACTCTGATTGGGTACATTCACACATTAGTCAATAGGATTGTTTAAGCTTACAATCCTTGTCCAGGTCTTAAGTTTACATGGGATGTAATACAGATAGACATAACAATCACAACTTGCATTACATGTTCTTTTTTCTTGGCAGAATTTATTTTGGGAAGGTATTATGTGTTCAGGGATAAATACACATAGCAGCTTCTGGGTTCAGGCATCATTAGCTAAAATTAGTCTTCTTAATCTCATCTGTTCAAGGTAAGCTTAGTTTGTTAACTGCCCTTGCTGTAGAATGGAGCTCTGGTAAATTTTTGTTGAACAGCAACATGTTTAGAGCAGGTCTGACAGTTCAACTTATTTGTCTACAAGACAAACTCACCCAGTTTTTTCTAGTAAACCACAACAGACATAAAAAAAAACAACAACCAACAGAGAAGCATTTCATTTTCTGAAATTACAGTGATGTATTGATGGTGATCAACACTGGGTTGTCAACTGAAAAATTATATTATGTAAGGTCCTCATTACATAGGCTTGCCAAGTCCCCCCGGGGGGCGGGGAAAACCCCACCCCAGAGGCCTGTTTCGTGCCGCCGGCAGATCGGGCCCCAGGGGGAACCCCACCCTGACGTGCACGTCACCCGGAAGTGACGCGACCACACCGGGCACACTGGGGGTGGGGCCACGGTCATCCGAGGGAAATATGTATGTGCCCGGCGTGGTCACGTCATTTCCGACGCTAGCCGGGAGTCCCCCACTGTGGCGAAAATCAGACTTGGCAACCCTATCATTACATGAGATGCGTGACATGAGTTAGGCAGGAAGGCATTCGATTGCAGGACACATGGACCCCAGCAGTGGGACAAACATGCCCTCATGGCTATTTTTGCTTGTGTAGGTGCAAGAAAGAAGGATGACATCCCTCCTTCCACCATACCATGCTCTAGATCAGAATCAGGCCCACAGTGCTTTTTAAGATGAGTCCTCTGTCATATGTGTGACTGCAGGTCGTATTGGGGAGGAACCCCTGATCTGACTCGCATCACGTCTCCTGTAGTGATGACCTAACATGGGTAGGGGAACCTAGCAAGCTATATAGTACAACAAATGCTTCAAAGCCAATTATTTCTGTAACTCCAATTGCATAGTAGGGTTGCTGACTCCAGATTGGGACATTTCTGGAGATTTGGTAGTATCTAGGGAGGGCAGGGTTTGGGGAAGGGAGGGAACTCAGTAGGGTTGCCAAATTTAAAAAACTTACCGGCGGGGGAGCGTCCTGCCGGTCCGGGAGTCATCCGTGGGCACGCCGCCAGAGCGTCACCGGAAGTGACGTCACACGCTGGGCGTAGCCCCGCCCCCAGCGTGCAACGTCACTTCCGGGTGACGCGCACGCCCGGGCGGAGTTCTCCTCCAGGTGAACTGATCTCTGTCGTTTAGGGTTCCAGGGCCGTTAGAGACACCGGTGGGATAGTGGTGGTGGGGACATTCCACGAGCCAGAACCATTGCCCCTGACGTGCTGATGTCTCCCAAAGTGACATTGCGCACCGTGCCTACATCATCCAGAAGAGACATAGGCACATCGGGAGTGACACTCTGGTTTTTGGGCAAAACTCTATGGTAAGATCGCCCTCAAACCACACAGTTTTGCCCAAAAACCAGAGCGTTGCCCCCAGTGTGCCTACATCACTTCCAGGTGTTGTAGGCATGGCGCACAACGTTGCTGTTGGGGGGGGGGGTTTCTCCAACCGGCCAGCTGGCTGGGGGTAGGCAGGAGCCCACAAAACCAGGCAATCCCCTGCCCTCAACTGAGGAATAATTAATTATTATATATTATAGAACTATCTGGATTTGTGAATATTATGTTCCTGCGTTCTCTTCTGAAGAAGCGTTTTGCAAAGCGATTTCCAAGTCAATGTTATTGTTAAAGGAAGAAGGAACATTCATATCTTATTGATAAGAATTACACACACAAGCACTTCATTTCTACAAACAACTTTATTTCATTTTGACTGTTATGGCTTGCTTTGGACTTTTACATGCAATATGCCCTTTGAATGTTGATATTGTCTCTGAATGCTGAAAAGTTATGACTTTATTATTGTTAATGCATTTTCATTTACACACACACACACATATATTTTGCCTACTTGTTTTCATTATTCTCCATGGTATTTTTGTTTGTTGTGTACTCAACTGAGGAATGGCAACCCTACTGTGGTCTGAAGATCAGTTGTAATTCTGTGAGAATGCCAGGTCCTTCAGGGAAGCTGTTAGACCTAATAGTCTTGTGCAGCATGAAGCTATGAAAGTTTACATGGTAGTAACTGAGATTAAACTCATTGGGACTTCTAAGCAAGCATAGGACTGCATCCTTAGACACATTCAAGCAAAGCGCATTTATAAGAGTTTATAGGTGTACTGGGTTTAAGCATTATGTGTACAATCCAGTAAATATTAGGGAAAAAATAACCGAGACATTTTTTAACAAGACAAGTTTGGGGCACCTGGACCCAACTTGTTTTCTGCACAGCCATACAGCAGCTGCAGGGGCCTTGTTCAGCTTGGTGCCACAGTGCAGGCGAAGCAGGGGCTCTTAGCTGACCCTCGGGGGTGCTTTCACACATGCTGAATAATGCGCTTTCATTCCACATTCAATGCACATTAGTGATTGTTTACAAGTGGATTTTGCTGTTTCACATGGTAAAATCTAGTTGCAAAGTGCATTGAAAGTAAATTGAATATGCATTATTTAACAGTTGAAAGGGAGATAATCAAGGCTAAAGCTCTATTGGTTTCAGGATAACTGAAGTTTTGCTGGATTGTGCCATTTGGATCTTCAGGTTGCAATTCATAAACAGATTTTAGTGATTTCATTGGGAACTATGTGCAAATGTAATT